ACCGACTACAGGGTAGGAACTAACTGTAGAGTAGGGACTGGCTACAGGGTAGAAACCAACTGTAGAGTAGGGACCGACTACAGGGTAGGGACTAACTGTAGAGTAGGAACCAGCTGCAGAGTAGAGACTGACTGTAGAGTAGGGATCCACCAGACAGAGCGACACTGAAAAGGCTCGCACTTTTATTTTTAATAAAAGGGATTTAGCGTCCATCAAACTCCTCTTCTACAAACATGCAGGCCATCAACGATCCACTTGGCCAGAAGGCTAATTTGCTAGCACAGACCAGGCTACAATATTTTCGAGGATATGCAATTATTGACATGCGTCATTTGTCCTTTGAGAGTGATGCAATCCTCGGATCAAGACCTCTTGACCAGACCAATGTGAGAAGATTACACACTATGTTCGCACTAGAAGGCTGTGCCAACCTTGAACCTGAGCATAAAGTAGCTGCTACGGTCAGTGAACTGACTCTGCAAGAAGGCCTGACACGTACGGGTATAACGCAGGAAGCCCTCTTCAATCAGGTGAACCCCGTCAATCTATCGTTTGAAGATTCAGTTCGGCTGGTATGTGTTTTTGGAAAACACCGGCTTAGAGCTGGCGAGGGATTTGGTGTAGATCGATGGTTGGTTGAACTTTATTCAACAGGTAAAGACACTTCTGAAACCCAAATATAATTTGCTAATCCTCGTTAGAAATACCTTTGGATGCATTGGCACAACTTCGTGAAGAATCTTCCGGCGCGCAGGCTTTCAAGGATGGGGAAATCTACACAATTCTAAGAAGGTATCAGCTTTCGAATAATGACTCACAAGAACAGAAATGGTGGGCTCGATTTCAGTCTGACGACCGGCGAAAGAATTTTCGCAGACTTCAGCGAAACAAATTTCTCCGTGAGGGTTTTGACAAATTGCTGCCATATTGCGGGCTTTGGGAGCCACTAAAAGCCTATCACATTGAAAGAATATTAGGTTTGCGGTGCCATGAGGTACCATAATACAAGCAAGAATTAAGAGTTATTGTAAACTGACTTTGAGTTGCTAGTATATACGTCATTACCTTGAGGAGATATACCAAGCGTGGTCATTCCTCTTCTCCAAAGAGACAGCTTATATGGCGGATCCGACATCAGTACGACTTATTGAGGGACTTATGTTTTCGTACTCATTAGATGACTGCGATCGCCTGCAGGGACTTATGATTTCGGGGACTGTTTTCCCTCATGTGAAAGGAGACGAACGTATTAATCTTCAAAGAAAGCTGCTCCAAATTCCCGGACGGCTATTGTCGATTAATACCCTCATTCAAGACACGCTATATCTACAGAGTCCAGCGAAAGCATTTCGCAGCCTTCTGCCCAAGAGGTTCAAAGGTACCCTGAGAGAAGCCATGCGCCAAAATTGGAGCTCTCAGAATAATAAGCAGCTCGGAAATTTCCAGGCCTCTGAGCATGAATTCAGAACGTTACCATCCCCTGCAGACTCGTTTCTCATAGGCATAATGCAGCTGTGGCTATTTGCACTGAGACACCTCGTTCAGCCCCGCAGGGATAACAAACATCCACAAATACCAGCATCACGATCAAGCGAAGCGCATAATTTGAGTAACATGGCGATTCTGGCTCATCAACTTGGCTTTACATCGGCAGAGATCAATACGCTCCGGCTCAGGGACACCACACAGTGGGAGTCAAAAAGCATGTTAAGAGCTTTTTGTGTTGATGGCTTCTACCAAATAGACGAGGCAAAAATAAATTCAATGGCAAATAGGATGAAGGATTATTGGCGAATCCTTCAACGAAAACAGAATGCAGCAGAGATCACGCCAAGCCTTGTCACAAACGAGGTCGAGCTGATGACACGACGCAGGTATAATTGTCCATTTCAATCTGAAGATGACAGAGATCGCAACTTCTTATTTCTGGAGCACATATATTCTGCTGAACAACCTCGAGCACGCTATGCTACATCATTTGCTGTGACTCGGGAAATACTATATGCATTTTTTGGGAAGAGTCCTTTATATGACATTTTCTCGCAGGGTTCAGACAACACATCGCATGTCGTATCCCCAACAATGGAATGGGGCACTATTCCCTCAAAAGATGATCCTCTGGTTGAAGCAGAAGCAGCAAGTTATGGGCCAAGCCCAGTTGAGCTCGAACCACATCCTCCGGGTACTCCAGATCGGAGCACTGAGGGCTTCGAGACTCGGTTCAGTGTTATGCCCACCGAACGTAATAGTTCACTGCAATCATCTGAAGAAACGGATTTGATTCCGGTCAATGGCAATTCCTCTCTGGATTCACCAATACGTCATATAGATGGCATGGAACGAAGCGTGCCTCTGGCGGCAGGATTTGAAGATGATTCGTGTAAGGCGCCCTTGGAGACAAAGGCGATGATTTCGCTACACCGAAATGTGGCGGAGATTCTTCAGATGTGGTACGAAACAGGGGATTCTCACCTGGTTGTTCTTTTTCTGTTCGAATCACGTACCTACTACAAGTTCGATCGGAAATCAGAGAATTCTTTGCGTTTGAGATTGACAGAGCTTGGCAAAGAACATTATTTTCTTGTGATCGGTGACTACGGTGTTGAATTACCAAATCTGAGCACGATAACTGAGGTGGCTATGCGAGAACGTCTGATATTGGTTGGATATAAAGATGGTCCAAGCAAGGGAGTCACAGACGGGAATGGACAAATTTCTTTAGATTCACTGAAGGATTACGTGACGAAATTTGACGTTCGTACCGGGAAAAGAAAAGCAGGTGATAGTTATGGAGGGCATGCGAAGCGGAGAGCTCAATGATTCTTTTACAGTGCAATAGTATGCCATTTACAGTCTGTATAGCTCTATTTTACCTATTTGGAGACGTCAAAGCAAAAAGCTTCTCTGAACATTGTGATAAGACTGATGATTTCATGGTGCCCAGAGATGTGCGTAATGATACCAGGTATGCCATTCTAGGGAGTTTGCCTCGTTTTCAAAATGATAGATCACTGTCAAAGCGGTATGACAATAATAGAACGATAGTAGGTTATCTAGTGGCTACATTTGCGGGAAATAAATAAGAAAACTCTTTTGATTGAACTTGGTTTCAGAGTCTAATAAATGGTGAATCTTTATGCTTGTAAATATCTCGATGATCGCGCAACAAATAACTATTTCAGTGATTCATTGTCACCACACTATTCCATTAATAATAATCCTGCGTAAGATTCCCTGACTTCTGATCCGCAGCATACTCTCTGCAACGGCTTGTATATCACAACGATATAAGCTTATCCCTGAGGGATGTACTTTCTCCGCCGACACAGATACATTATTGAGTTCTAAGCACTGAAGCGTATCTGCTTTGTTCGTGACAAATCCTCCAAGCTCCGATTCACCAAGCCAACAATGACCTAAAACCAGCTGACGAAGAGCTGGAAAAGGAACAGTGGTCATGGCATCTAGCAAGTAAGGGCTGTCAATAAGGTGCAAACTTGCAATATCCTCTACTGCCGCTGTAAGTTTCTCAGCCAAGTAGAAGTCCGTCATCGGTAAGTGGGAGTAGAATCCGGAAATTTTTAAACTTGTTATGCGAATGCCTTCTCTCTTCGTAGCGAGTATTGCATCAAGTAGAGCCTCAAAGTGCAATAGAAACGATTCCTCCCAATCCACAAAGAGCCGGCTGGCGAACCATCGAAATGGGCTCTTGATTCCATCCGCAAATTCCACCTCGATACTCTGCAGACCCCGAAAACGAGGAAAGCTCGTGCACAGAGATCGTAAATCGACACACCTTTGTAGAATTTCTCGCTGTTCGTGTACCAAGTGAGAAAAGTAAGTGTATATATCTTTGTAGGGCACCTGTTTCCCGCGAAAACTCCAGATTAAGTCTTTCTGGTCCCGAACGTACTCGGCTGGTGGATATACACAGGAACGAAAATAATCCCAGGATTCAGCACCTGTGGAACAATTAAATGAGTTCTATATAGCCAGTTTGTTCACTTACAAGGATCTATAAGCTCAGGAGCGTAGTATTGAATGACTTTCACATACTGAGCAATATCCGACACAGATATTTGCTCCAATCGTTTGAACCCGGCGATCGAGAAATCCACGCGCAATCTGTGGAATAAGAATGGCACACAAAGAATCCTAAACCTCCTACTGACAGAGGAGAGGCTTTTTAGGGAATCTCGCGTGGTAAGGTCGACTATTATGATACTCAAAAGCTCAGTGGGGAATGTTTCCAGCGAATCCATAAGTGAGGTGAGATGTCGTAACGAATACTAGGAAGGAGTCAAAGATCTGTCATCCACTGTGGATGAATATTATTTTCTTTGGAGCAGACAAAATCATAATTTCAGGATAGAGACTGAATACATTTACTTTGTGTATCCTTACGTATGGATCAAGGTGCGTATCTTCGTGATTGCGACTCCTGTTTAGGCTCGCAGTTATGCAGCGAATCAGCGTCCGTCCGTTCTGCGACATCGGAAAGAATCATGCAAAGATCATCTTTTGCGACCCATAGCCGGATCACGACTGGTGACCGGCTCGAACTATTACTTTATGCCTTCCTTGATATTATCCTCGAATAGAACGAGAAAAAGCAGTTTATGAGATCATATACTTGATATCGTCGTCAAAACTTTGCTATATATTCACTTTTTGCCATCTCACCTTTTTTTTCTCACCGCTTCCGGGTATAAGACCATGGATGCCAATTTATCAGTCATGCAAGAGCCATCGTTGCTTGAAATCCTTCAATTCCAGTATCCTAATGTACTCTCGGCACAGTCAATGGGCGCTGACCACGCAAAAATTCCCACGATTCAGTCTGTAAAGGATTTGATCGACGTCCGAACAACGGTATTCCTACGAAACTTTCTCCCAGGATGGCAGGACTCTGGACTTCTTGACCATATGAGCCATGCACCGCCCAAAGTCAAGACACCTAAAGCTGGAAACACCACTCTTGTACCGTTAGAAGCTCTTGGCATGGCTCAAGAAGTATGTCTACGGCTGACCCAAATCGTCCAATATCTCCATCTTGTTAAGGGCATATATCTACTCAGAATTGATAAGATAAGAGGGAAACAAACTTCCAATTACAGGGGACAGCGATTAGACTCTCTTGCCATGGAGTCACTCCTGAGCAATATCTATGTGGATTGGGATGAATTGGACGGGCTGTCACAGTCAGCACTTAAGCAGAAGCTGAGGAAAGCGAATAAGCAGGCCAGACGGTGGTTACTCATCGCCTCGAGACTATCATTTGGCGTGCTCCTCATTGGATCCAGGCTCTTTGAGCGTCAGATGTGAGACAACCCACTTATACTATATTTGTATGTTGATTGGCTGACAGAATAAGAAACAATCCCCGTGTTAGCGAAAAACAGCTCGCTGCACTTGCGATGAAGATATGCTCCGATTTTCCCTCAATTATTGATACTTATTCTTATCTTGATTCTACTGTCAAAGGAATCCTTAATCAGGAGAGAGTATCTCTACTCACTGGTTTTCAGATGTACATTGAGCAAGTCGATGCTAAGTTGAGCGGGCGCCAGGCAGCAATATCCTGGCAGGACAATATTACAACCTACTCTGATTCGTCTATCGATGTCCAAAAACTCAATCTCGACAAGAATTTCAAAGAGCTTATCAGTACTGATGATGACAGAATTTTTGAAGAACTTTGAGGTCCTGATGACAAAGCACGGCCAATCCTCAAGGTGATAAAGCGACCAACTCAATACACTTTAGCTTAGAAGGTACAACTTATAGAATGCTTGGCTTTTTTAGTTATTCAGTAGTTGTGGATTAGCAAAGTCCTTTAAAAGATCCTTGATAGCGAGACAACGACCATGTTACAATATGAAACAAGTTGAAATGTAATATATCCTGGTATTGACAGCTTCAGTAATTTATTTGCTCATTAACAAGGGTGATTACCAACACGCACTCGGGCTTATGCGACTGTTAATCACTGGAGCCGACGAATACTCAACCATTTCTTTACTGCTAAATTTAAAGTAACCAAGCATAAGAGACAACAAGGAACACAGTATACAGACACAGAAAATAGGATACCATATTGCATAGTAAGCAATGTGTAGCATCAAATACAAATAGGCCAACTTTATCATTTCTGTATGATTATCAGGCAACGCAAGAAATGGTTTTCAAAATATCGCGCTGTCTTTATTCGTCAAAAACCAACTCGTGCCATTCTGCGAAAAGTAGAATGCACCTCAAACTCCACAGCATGCGTATTTATACGCAATCGTATAATTGCCCTGCCTACCCTGGATATGCAAGATTAAAACCCGAACCCTTAGCTGAAACCACCAGTCTGTATATGGCTAGGAGGTACTTGGTAAATGATCTTGTAACATAACAGTTCCGATATATAACCAACTTTCGGAGCTGGCATAGCTGTAATTTACGAGTATTGCGAAGAGGTTCATTCTATACACTGTAGTTCAAGCCCATTGATCATCAACTTATTGCTTATATACTTGTGCTGAATTATATCGGCTATCTCTTATTAAATATGGTACAATACTCAACTTACCGTCAAAAGAAATTGACCAAGAATAGATTTTTAATAGCAAAATCTGCCGAAGCCCCTAAGTGTAGCAAGCAGGCACGATTACATAAAGTATTTTAATACCTAGTGAATGGATCAATCTGCAGCGCAATGTATATGACTAATAGTGAAACGCCGAGGATTTCATGGTTGATAAGAAAAACTACTCTGTAGGTGGCGAACATAAGTTGATTTTGTCCCATGGATAGCACAATTGCTTTTCGACTGATGATGTCAGACTTGATAGTTATTTAACAATAGCAAAAGATTGCGTCTTACACAAATTTATCTTTTCCTTACTTCATTCAAATAAGTTAACTTACACTGGACTTTCTTAGATAAGATGACCTCTCACAGCTCAAATGATGTTGAGATTTGGATTTTAGGCACAGGAACTGCTGCACTCGCTTCAGCACTCTTCCTTCTCAAGTATAATTCCATCAAGCCCTTTAATATCCATCTGTTGGACTCTCATTCTTCAGTTGACCAGGTTTTACATTATCCTGGCAACTCAGGCACAGGATATGACCAATTTGCGGGGTGCTTGCCGGTACCAATCGGTGCACCTCTAAGAGACCTTCTTTCATCAATCCCATCTTCTCAAAATTCAAGGATATCTATCTTTGAAGAGATTAATAATCGACAAAAGCAGAGATATCCAGTCAATCATAATCAAAGAACATGTTTTGTGATTAAAAAAAATGATTCCCTAGAACAAATCTCAACAGACCATCTGAATTTAAGCATTAGGCAGCGTCTAAAGCTTTTATTCTTCATGCTTAAGTCTGAAGACAGCTTAGGCAGAAGTCAAATTCGGGAGCACTTCTCCGAGAAGTTTTTCAAAAGTATCTTCTGGGCTGTCTGGTCAGCGCAGTATGTCTTTTGCTCGGAGAGATTTTTTTTTTTGCTAACTATCTTTGCTAACTATCTCCCAGATTTTGCTTCCAACCTTGGCATAGTGCAACAGAATTCAAAAACTCTCTAAAGCAGTATTTGCATGAGTTTCAAGGATTGAGTATTTTGAACTGTCTCGATATCACTGGTTACTACCAACACGAATGTATATTTCTTCCCATTTATCATTATCTCCGAAGTTTAGGCGTGGACTATCTGTTCAACGCGAAGGTCAAAGAGATATCTTTCGCCATTGTTGGTCACGATCTGAAGCCACAAAGGTTGAGCTTTTCACACCGCGAACACATTGTCACGAGAAACATTGGTCCGAACGATTGCCTTATAGCCGCGCTTGGATCGACCGTCTCAGGCTCTCAAAAAGGTACAAATAGCCAGCCGCCTCAATGGAACTCAATCTGGTCAAATGATAATCTTGATGATAACTGGTCGCTATGGTTGGAACTTGGCAACAAGGACAGGACCTTTGGTGATCCATACAATTTCTGCGCCCGTCAATCGGAGTCAATGTTAGAATCTTTCACCATTACCACGGAGGATACGGTACTATTTCAGGATTTTGAAGCCATTACTCGACAGAAATCTCAGGCTGGGACTTATATATCCTTGCAAGAAAGCTCTTGGAAACTGGTTCTCTGCGTTCCCCTACAACCAGTTTTTGCAGATCAGCCAAGGAATGTACGGGTTGTATGGGGCTTTGCGAATTAGTCCACAGCGGAGGGGGGATTATATCTCCAAGCCGATGTTACATTGCTCGGGATCTGAACTATTGACCGAAATATGTAGGCACCTTGGCCTGACTCATGAATCCGCAAGACATCGTACTATAACCATCCCCCGTGTCATGCCACGAATGAGTGCAGCATATTTAACACGCCAATCCAGTGATCGCCCTTGCACGAAACCGAAAGCTACTTCAAACATTGGTTTGATTGGTCAATTTGTTGATCTTCCACCATACACCGCTGTCGACTTAAGCTATGGTATCCGTACAGCTGAAGCAGCTGTGTCCCAGCTTCTCGATTCTGCTATTTCAGACCCTGAGAGAAAAGTATCATTGCCTTCCTTATGCCGTCGCATACTTTTTTGCAAATGATGATGGGTACTTATTGGGAATGTCACCAAATGTGGGTTTCTTATGCACGGGCAAGGGATAATACCAGAATACAGGAAATGTTTGATATCATGTATATAGGTCTTCTTTGGTACGTAGACTAGCGCGAATTAGGTCGTAGTTCGCGCTGCTCTCATTGGTCGGTAAAACCTGCCGTCGGGAGATTTGCAAGGGACCTACTACGTAGTATACATGTCATACAAGTGGTGCAGGCAGTAACCACGTCAATTTATCCCCTCAGCAAGCGCCGACGAAGTCTCTCTATTTCTTACTATTTTTTCGCAATCTAAATCCTACGATGATCTGCGGCTTTTGTTCTTATTCTATTGCCTAGCAACAATCCCATCCAATCGGTGTTTCCTTATTGCCAATCCCTCACCTGTTAATGAACCACAACTCGGATAGTAAATGCTATCTACACCAAATCAATTGATGTATCTTCGAGCTTTCACAGGACTAAAATTGGGGTAAATATTATATCCCAGCTTCTGAGTCGATCCAATCTCAACATTCTCCGGTATGGCTGAAACGCAGTCTAAGTCTCGTGATTCGAAGAAAGAAAAGCCCATTCTTTGTATAAGTCAGCCCTTGAGCATTTTGACCAAGGAAATGGCAGAAGTCCCTATTAAAGATATTGAATCTTGGGTTTATCGATCCTCGGAGACTCGCATTCAGGAAGTTCAGAAGAAAAAAGGTCGAGTCACCCGCCCGATGAATTCTTTTATGCTCTATCGGTCTGCATTTGCGGAAAGGACACAGCAGTGGCTCGGGCAAAATGATCATCGACTTGTATCCGAAATATCTGGCAAGAGCTGGAAATTGGAGCCACGAGGAATTCGCCTGAAGTATGGACATCTGGCGGAAATTGAGAAGCAGAATCACCTGAAAGCGCACCCTGAATACAGATTCTCTCCAGCAAAGATAAAAAGAAGTTCAAAGGGCGTCAGAAAGAAACAGAAGAATAGTTCCGAGCCCAACCCAGACTTGCTCCCAGCATTTGCTTTAAACGCCGCTGCGGAAGAAAGCAGTAGCAGAAATTGGTGTAAGTCCAATATCTAAAGTTTTTGCAGAATGGAATCATCCAGTTCTTATGGTCTTTTCTGCTTACTGATATGCCTAGATGACCGCTTAGGGCTCACATCTCCTACCGTTGTATCTTCATATCAACCTATAATAATGTCACAGAGTGGTCTTTCAATCCAGTTTAATTCTGACTATGAAAGAAAAAGCTTTCAAAACACACCATGCGATTATACAATTTTAACCGATTTCCTGGCACCATCATACCATAATATTCCACAATTCGCTCACGGCTACATTTTTGAGGATCTTGCGCAAAATAACCAGTCGCTGATACCTAAAATTGAGCTTCCGAGTGCTAATCAGGGCCCTAGCCTTCAACAGGTGTCATGGCAAGAGCTCTCTACAGACTACGAGTATTCCCAATAAGATCTATGGCATAGTCATATGTCTGCTCAGCAAATATGTCCTAAACTTGGAGAGAGACAGCTGGAAGTTGATTGATCATTCTTTAGCTGATCCCTCATTTTTGTGTACTTAAAGCAAAATTACAACACGAATAAGATAACTTTCCAGTTGATAATAGTGCATTTGGAGAGGAGATCCTGCTGGAGGAGATCCTGCTAAGTCCGATCCTGTACAGATACACTAGTATATCATTTAATCGGACCTGTCGGGTTCGGTCTGACTTACAGTTCTTAAATTTCTCGGGAGCCTTTTCTAAAAGAAAATTGCTAAAAAACTCACTTGGCATGATTACAAGGTCTGGCTTGGTGACCTGGCCCATGCTCTTGCCGTTCAAGGTCACTTTCAAGTCGGTTTGATAGTCAATATATCTCTGGGCCTGTGCTTCATATTGCCTCTTTTCTAATCTATGAACGGGACAAATGTTAACTAGCCTATTTGTGACTGCTAGTATGTGTTCTGGGGAGGAATATGTTCGTGTAAAAGTACGTCCAAAGTTGCCTAGGGTAGGGCCATAGTCCAAAGTGGTATTCCAATGGTCGTAGGATTGGTATTGTGAGTCTTCATCCATTGCGGAAGGATTATGCGTTCTTGTTTCGATCTGATAAAAAGCGCTAACGTGCAATTGCTTATTGTTTGCAGATTTTGATGTATATCAAAGCAGAATTTTTTGCCGATTTCAAGATCCCTGATCTGTCTCTTCAATTGTTTCCGTTTTCTTCGCACAGAAGCCTCCTCTCCCGCAATATTTTCCAACTGCTCGGGTGACAGTGTGTAGACCCAAGAGGGAGAAAACAAATTCAATGGAGCTTCTGGTCCAGTAACAAGATAGAAGTCCGCTGCTTGCATGCATACGTTGTCAATGAACCTTTTCCGAGCAACCTTGTAGTACGATTTCAGTATGTCGTGGATGTCTTCAACAGTATGTTGCAAGTTGTTCGTATGATGAATTTGGGTCAAATCTGCAAGTTTAACACACCCCACTGCTGAACCATTCTCATATTTCACTGAAAAACATGACTTCGTCGCTTCAGAGGAAATGCGTTCCTGCCGACTGAATTGAATATTAGCAAGTTCTCATCCGTGAGAGGAGTCATGCTCACCATTTTTGCAAGTTGCTATTCAAGTAATGATTCTGTGTCATTGGCGTACCTTCTCTTTCAATTCTTAGAAGAAAGTTCGTCGTTGAAAGAGCTTGTCGATATTTTTCGATAAGATCATCCAGCAAGAATAACAGGATAGTTTGACTCAGTGCTCTATCTGCACAGGAAACGACCAATGCCTTTTTGATAAAGTTATGGACCATGGATATGATATCACAAACGTAACCCTCGGCCAGTGATGGCCATTTTGAGGACTGTTTCTTGAAGACGCTCGAGAGTATCGATCAGTTAAATGTCCCGATCTCAAATCCACGAGATTGCCGATAGATTTTCTCGATCCAAGCGAGAATACCCTTTGTCTGAGAGTCCTGAACAGAAATGCAGTCGTGTAATATGTCCTCAATATCACTGCAACTCTTGACTTTTCTGCTGGGAATTGAATTGCGCTCGTCTTCGTCATCGTCGTCATCATCCAGGTGACCTGTCTGCGCGCGGACAGAGCTCGTCGGTGAAACTGCTTTGCCTGAACGTGGAGTGTCCGAATCGTCGTCATGATTATGTGACATGAAGGCAAAAGTGTGACCCCTAGTAGAGATTTCATCTGAAAATAGAGCATTGCGGTTAGCAACCACGGTTGCCAAGCGTAAGTCAGGCTCATCATCAAAAGCGTCTTGTGATCCATAGTTTGTTTGCAGGGCATTTTCGGTGATTTGCTTGAATTTTGACACAATCTCAAGTAAGTATTTACTCTGTTGTTCAGTTGATTCACGCTCTTCTCCCATGCTCTCCAAAGCCTTCTTGCATGCTTTGAGGCGTTTAGAAACTTCAGATCGCACCTATAGCCTGGAATTAGATATTGGCGGACATTATGCATCAGGGTAGTACTTGCCGAGGGAAATTCTCGCCGCACGTTGGAGGCTAAAAGTGCTTGCAATCGGGCCCTCAGGGCCTCGATCCCAAAATTATCTTTTGAGAGGCGGTTCCAAGGTGGTGAATGGCTGAGAATCTGTTCTTCAATGTCACGGTTCTTTGAAGAGTCTTGAAGGTCCTTCTGACCGAGGTTCCTTACTACCACCCAGCCTAATTCTTGTGACTCTTGTTTCCCTTCGACTATGTCAATGATCTTTTCCTCTGCTCCTTTGTCCACTAAATCGGGTTTTGTGACGATTCGTAACGTCCTTAATCCGTCGGAGTCCAGTTCCCTGGCCATTTCTATGATCTCTTGCGTGGCAATATCCACATTGGCTGGAACAACAGCTAGCATTATTGACCTAGGATTGCGCATATAGCCAAGTACCATGTCTCTCACAAGATCAATATCTGACTTCGAAGTCAAACCTGGCGTGGTTGTCTTAAAGATTCCAGGAACATCAATCACGCTGAGATGATTTTCATGGGGCCCATGAATCTCTAGTCGAAGCACGTCAGAGGAGAAAGTGGGCAAGTCGTGTTCCGCCGAAGTTGATAGGCCCATGGCTATATGAACCTTTGGAAAATCAGCCTTCTATTCATAATTGTAAAGAGGACACAAGTACCTCAGTCATCATGCTTTCAAACTCTCTTTCATTGAGTGTTTCAATATCTGATATACACCAACTCGATTTTCCCTTTCCTTCATTGCCAGTAGTCGAGATAATAGAGCCAGATATCTTCCTTATTTTCAAGCTCGGATCTCTTCGAAATATGATCTGCGTTGCGAACCGGGTGCATAAACCACTATCTCGGGGAAATTTCAGTTTTGTCAATCCCTCCAGAACAGAGCTCTTCCCACTGGATTGATCTCCGACCACCACCAATTGCGGTAGGTTGATATATTCTCCTACATTGCAAGCAAATAGTTTGTCGATCTTTTCAAGTAAAGTAGGTTCGACGACGACCATGTTGGCCTCAGTGTGAGTCTCAAGCTTGATTGTCATTTTTGATTGTGGATGAGCCATCGATGTTATTCGTACTTTAATAGCAACGATCTCACATTCCTGGGGTTCCCCCTCTTGGTGAATGTCCATTTTTCTGCTGCCTCAGTATTTAAAATGTAACATAACGCTGCCCTTGCATGAGCTTATTGGATTATGCTTTACTCCTGCACTTTGGAAAGACAATCATACTCGTCCACCCTCTAATATCTTATCGTATTTCCCCAGAGAAACAGTAGCTTTTAAGCGGGGTTTATTAACCTAGAGCAGCGGTCACATATGATATTCCAGAATAAGAGCACTACAGGGGTTAGAGCGTTGTAAGCATCTTCAAAGAGCAGAAGGCTGAAGACTTGGTATAAATAGTAATAAATAGTACTGTAACGTGGAGCAAAAGACGTCTAACCCCTTTTCGCTACCTTCAGAAGATCCATCTATACATTAACCTGTGCATATTCATGAACCTGTACCGCATGCCGATGTGTGATTTATCACATCTAAGGAATTTTCGCTAACTTAGAACGCTGAAAAGAACGAATTCTTAGCAAACCAAGCATGTAGGATAAATAATGCTGGATGGGCTAGACTGTCCTATGCTAGCAAGCTCCTGGCCAAAAGATATCCAGATTTCGACTCCCATTGTAGTTACGAGCATCGTTACAGGGTGTATGTGTTTCTGTGTGTGAGTGTGTGTGTGTGTAACCATACGCTGGCCCCTTGCCCAGGTATGCAGGGGTCCACTACCTCTGATCTCTATATACATCCTTTTTCTCCTGACTATGGCTTTCCTGACGAACTTAGAACCTCGTCAAGTCCTGTGGTGGTCATTGCCAGGGGTTATGTTCTGCGGCCCTTGTGGCGCGCGGCTTCGAAATCTCTGTGACGCCTCCGCAAAATCTAGGACTGCACCAACAATGCTAATGTCTTACAAAAGCTGCCCTATCATACCTTCCTTATCTTGTTGTCTCTCTCTTACGTGAGTGATATATCATTGATCGTGGCCCCAATTCTCCTCCGCATTTCTTAAAGGGGTTGTTGTTGGTTTGGAAAATCACTCAATACATGGATCACGGTATCTTTTGCTCCACACACGCATTTATCGTTGTCTTGGTGACCACGTAGTTTACCGTGGCATCATTATGTATCTCAGTCACTTGATTGCCGTATCTTTATTGTTTGGAACCAGGCGCGGGACCCCCCTATAGAATAAACTGTCCAAGAACATATATCACTATAGCCGCCAGATGACCCTGGGAAATGAGCTGAATACAGGCCTTGACATAGCTTCAAGCTTGCCAGGAAATTAACAATCTAGAATTGAATGAAACCATGTTCGCTGCGTGGTGGAGAGTGATAACGGGGTACCCTGCATGTCACTAAGGTGAGGGGACAGCGTATAAAACGTCATCATCTGTATCATCATTAAACTGTATCTTATAAAAATGTGAGCTCCCGATGAGACTGGCTTCAAATTCTCTTTTAGCATATTATTTATTTTTTTGTTATAGGGAGCTGGTACTGTATAAATCCAAAAGTCATATTAGCGATACAAAACAGGTGAAGACTACTTTGAAACTATTGAATACTTTGAAAATACTTCAAAAAACGTTCCAAGTGTGAGCAGCAGCTCACTCGATCAAAGATTTCTCATCCTTAAGAAATTCATAATGAAAAAGCATGCATGCATTATTTCAGGAAGCACGGTAGTCCACATATCGTCTGCATTATTTCTGGTTTTCTGAGTATGCATTTTGCCTTATAACAGGATTCGATCAGAGCCTTCAAATCAATAATAGAGAGCCGCGCGGGGGTCCCAATTTTCGTACCCCCAGTGATTCCAGGGTCCCCCCTGCCGGACACGTTGGCCGCGTCTGCTGCGTCGTAGGGGCGGAATAGGAGGCTTGCTAGAGACTGTCGAAGCTCTGTCATTGAACGGGATGTGATTGTCGTATAATTGTCGCAATGGCACCATTTTTGTTCCCTGCCATGATTGGCTCATATTCAATTGCTCGACCTGCTCTCGTAAGATCCGAATCTCTCGGTCTCTAGGATCCTCACTTTCAACAAATTGACGTTGTTTAATTGGGTGAGAGACAATGGAAGGGCGAGGTGTGCTCTTCCTTGAAGTCCTAGAGGGCGCTATCTGTTCAGACATGTCACTGATACTCTCCTCATCGTTTTGAAAACGGACACTGTTTTTGTTTGAAAAACGCGAGTGGGGAACTGATCGAGTGCTTCGTGTCGGTGAAACTCTGCGGCTGTTAAGAGTCTGTCTTTCACTTTCTCCTATGTAAGTGCCAATCGGTTCAGAGATACCAGGCTCATATACCTCCTCACTCTCCCGGAAAATGTCTTCTAACTCCTTGGCCTTCTGAAAAATGAGTCGGTCACCATCTAAGTTCGATCCATTTGCGATCCGACGGATAAACGCGCGGGTTTCCAAAGTCTTTTCACCATCTTTCCACGCCACGAAGACCCTCGTCTCAGGATACATCACACCGGTAGCAGGTTCGATGAGTGCTAAAGGGTCTATCCTGCTCTCATCATCGTCTTCAATCTTCCATCCCACACCAAGTATATCAGAGACATGCTTTCTTTCATACTTCCATGTTTCTCCCAATATCCCATCCATTACCGCTGGTTTCTTCATATAACCGCGTGTTTTAGAAACCAGAACACGAGTAACTGTCTTCTTATCATAGTACTCATGGGTACCAGCTCGGATGCGAAAAATTGGGTTGGATCTGGGACCATAGCGAACAAAAATCTGAGTACCTGCTCCCTTCGACCACCAGAATAGGACTTTGGCATTGACGAGAGAGCGACTCTGTTGGCGCGCCCTTGTCTCGAGCAGGTCGATTCCGGACAACCCATCATCTTCATCAACCTGACTGCCGCCTTCACTTTCACTTTCACCATCAATGCTCTCATCCTCGCTGCTCTCGCTTCCAGAGTCTCGTTGGACTGAAGCGGCCTGCAAAGATGTTTTGGGGGGAGGACGATGACCAAACACTGTCTCGGCTGCTGTTGGTGATATATTCCAACCCAAGGGCAGATTGTAGGCCTTGTTGAATTCATTCAGGGCTTGATAAACTTGGTCGTATGCCTTCCAGCCCAAACTAGGATTGTTCTTCACTTCTGGTTTTTCAATTTCCATTCTCCAAGATCTATACATGGCTTGATATGTTTGGGCTGGTATCTCACCTGCCCTTATATCTTCTTGCCCATGTGCGAGATTAGCCGCATGGATGTGCTGATTGAGTTCGCCAAAGAATTCATTCACTGCTTCAAAGTTGGGCGTGTCAGACAGGAATAAATTGTTCATCACATCGTCGCCACGGTTTTGTGTGAATCGTCGTATAATATCTTTGACCCAGTCACCAACTTCCGGGCGGCTTTCGCCAATAGGAGGAGGTGATTCCATCATATCGACAGATTTGTTGTCCATAATTTCATTCTCATCTTCATCTTCGCTTTCATCTGTCACTGAATCTTTTGGATGGACAACTTGGTCGACTGTTGGATCTTGGCCCGAATTTGCTTGCACCCGAGCCAAATTGCGTCGAGCCTTTTTCTTACTTTTCTTGCTGGGCATATTGCGAGACTGGCTCAAAGAAAAATTTTAAAGATAAAAAATTCTTGATGTGTGATTCGATTATTGTCATATAATGATGGTTATGTATTGACTGCGAACGACGGACTGGTAACTGAGAGGGCATCACGGTTTATATGGACTGGCCGCGAACCGAAAACGACTCGCAAATCAGGAATCTCACATTAGTAGGTCGCTCAATCGCGCCATTGAAGGGTTCCGAAAATGTGATGCAGCCGTCCACTAAGGAAAAGCCTACTAACAATTGAGTTGGTTTCTTATTTCAAGCACAATATAATGTCGGGACGACCGGGGTAAAATAGAAGGTAGAGATCTTTAGAAATATGTGGCCGCCAAAGGTTTTACTCTTAATCATCTGCAGCTTTATCACTATTTTCCGGTAACTCCAATTTTCCAGAACAGAGCATGAGAATTATCAGCTAACCTGCGGTCTAGTGGTAGGCAGCTGTTGTCACTTGTGGAACCTCTGTCCGAGCAAATCCAACCCAGAATGAATGCGTTTACGGCAAATCCTATTCTTGCAAATGGCAGCTTGAGCGCCACATATTCTAGCAAGCCCATCCCTTCTAAGCCTCCTGCTCAAGAGCAGCCAATATCGGATTCGGCACTCGTACCTATTGTGACCTATACCCCATGTCAAAGCGACCAATTTGAGAGCTTCATCTTTACTGGGACATATACGCTTTCTCAGGGCGTATCTTCCAGTCCTACACCATTGAATAACTCTGCTGATCGCTCACTCCATTCAATGGTGAAGGCTCTACCCTTTTTCTACCTCATTTTTGCTTTCGCTTAAATTCAGTTGTTATATGGGCCGAGATTGCTAGACAAACTTTTAAGATCATGATATATGTGATTTCGACGCTATCCGAGGTCTTGGGGTAGCTCTGCTGATTACTTTGATTGGTACGCTATCAGTTTTGGAGAAGTGGATGGATCGGTGAGCGCTCTGTACATACTTGGTATTACTTGAATACAAGAGTAGAGCATGGTACGTAGGTATTGCTACAATATCATAACATGTGCTGTGTATATGAATCATTCTTCGCAGAATTTCAATGAGGATAATCTACAGTAAAGGGTTCCATACTCTCTAGATGCTAGAGCTTCTTCCGTCCAGGAAGTGATTTGCGAATAAAAGAAAATTTGTACTGTAATTTTAGGTAAAATCGATAGCTTCACAGTTTATTGCTGCAGGAACATATTCATCTCAGGCCTCACGCCATGAGCGAATTCGGCCAGCTGCCGCAATGCATCCGAACATTGCTTACATCCAAGCCGGTACGCTTCAGCAACGTTCATCCAGTACTGGATTTCTTGCTGATTCTGATGTATAGTCATCTGGGCCTCTTCGTTCTTTGCTTTCTGAAACCCAATCTCCTCCTCGACATGGGCCATGGTCTGTTTGATTCGGGCTTTCTCTGCTTCGGCCTGCTCTAATATTTTGTTCAAACGCTCATTCTCTTCTTGAACGTGAGCCAGGCAATCACGACTTGACACGCTGTTGACCTTTTTTAAAAGGTTAGGTAGGTGACAAATAAGGAGAGTAGTCTTGTACCTGGCGGCCATCACAGTGGATGGCATAAAAGTCTTGGCCCACCCCGTGGTACAGTTGCATGTAAGCTCCTACAGAGTGCTTACTGAGATTTTTGTCAAAGAAGGTCTCCAAAGATGTTTTTTCAATCTTCCATGAATATCCCAAGTCTTCTGTAGACTTCAAACGGACCTCCAGAGGCTGAATCTCAATTCCCAATACCTCCCCTGCCTGTCTGGTTAGACATTGTTTTGTTAATAATACGTCATTTCGAACTCACAAATATGCTGTGCTAGCCTCTTGCGACACCGTAGCCTCCATGATGCACGTTTCTGGTTGCTTAGATTTGAAGAAAGTGCGTCCATGTCTGCTATTAGGACTATTACCGCGAAAATGTCTGGGGTGGCCGGCGTAGATATATCAGATGAGTGGCTGCGAACCAATTTCGACGCGGCATACATTCACAAGCTTTAGTAGACAAGAAGTTCCGGTTTATCATCAAAAACACATTTTTTTTTTTCAGAAAACCATCCGTGAGCTTGCTACGCGACTGATATTTATCCTTCTAGATGTGCTGTCGTTGAGCGATCAGTGCCGTGGTCGGTGCACAATCGAGTAGATTAGAAGCTATGGGAGTATATTCGACGACAGAGTGCGCTTTGTTGCCCATGGCTGAAATTCCAATTCAAAAAGCTCTACATCACGAGAGGCGTCAATCTTTACCTGTCGCAATATTCGGCTTCGGACCGTGCGGCGAGCAGACACTGTTGGGCGGGTTAGGCACACTCCACTGAAACAGGCATGTAGTAAACCGTACCTGCCACTAGCATTCTTCCGTTTTGTTGCGATACTTCAGATGATAAATGGTCTTCCCAGGTTGGCTGTCCTCCATAGATCTTAATCAAATCATGATACCCGAAGCTCAGTGGGTCGCTCGGCGAGGGCGGCTTTAACGAGTCATAGACGGTGACACTGAGAAGCTTTGAATAGTCAGCAATGCAGTGTTGTCTGTGAAGCATTACTCACATAATGATCATCTTGCTTCACTAATAGCTGTAACCAGTCACGAGCGCTTTTCCAGTCTCCTTCCTGCTCGAGTTGCCACACAAGTGCAATTCTCTGAGTCCGGATTCCTGAATTTCGACGCTGTTCTAAAAGCTCTTTGATATAGGGCAATTGAGCTGCAATTCCGATACCAGTGGCTACCATGAAGATATGCCCATAGTCTCCCATGCGCTCAGAAAGCCCACAAGGACCAACTGTTGCGGGGCCATATGGACCATCAATATGTGCCATGTAGATCTCGCCAGCCATAGTGGATTGGAGCAGCTTTTTCGTGAACCCGGCTTGAGATTGTACGAGTAAAGATATTGAACATATCTCACCAGTATCGTCTTCATCCCACCATGTGACTGTAAATGGATGGAACTGGAACAGATAGAACAAGCCAAGACCCGGAACATTGAGCCAAACGTGCTCTCCTGCGCGGACTTGCCATGGACGTGGCAGCGAAACTCTTATACATGCCACATCTTCTCCATGACCTATTCTGATCAATTTAGCACGTCTTTTGCCCTTGACAAAATTCCTGTAAATGATGCGAGCTAATTGAATAAGAAGCGAACAGGGGGCTAAGCAAGTACATGCTAATAGACAGATCCACGTCTCAGTAACTTGTAGCATTTGAACATGCCGCCATAAAGCGTAAAGTAGAACCAAGGCACACCCCTGATGTGTCCTGAGAAATACTTCGTAAACTCTCTTCTTTACAAGCGGTAGAAATGAGAGACCTAGCATCATGCTTCCTACCTATATAGAGAAGCAGAGTTGGATGTCAGTTTCATACCATAAGGAGATAGGAGAATAAGGATAGATCATACTAGGATACCATAAAATTGTACATCATTAGAAGCCGAGATTGTCCTTGTCCTAGCGACTATAGAAACATGTATGGCTCCTTGTACAAGCGCCATGTAACCGCATACTGTATGAAATGTTCGATATGTTGATCTAGAAACTCCTAGGTAACGAGCGCCGAACCCTTGTCCAAGAGAGATAAATGTTGGAATTAAATTGAGCAGTGAGAGTCGCGCGGCACGAGAACCTGCTTCCGAAATAGAGGCAATATTTGCAACATTGCAGACTCCTGTGCCCACAATATAGATGCCCATTAGCAACAATTGCAAGGGAGGTGGAAGCATAAGCCACCGCCCGTGGGAAAGAGGATAAGCTAGCCTGGCCAAGGGGCGATGTCGGATGCGGTTAGATAAGAATGCAGCGCAACCTCTGGTTAAGCCACGTAGTATAAGAGCAAGAATTGTCACCCCAAGAATAATGGCATATAAGCTAGTTAATGACTTCAGCTGCATGATTAGGTTGACGCAGAATACTTGGGATGTCACAATTTCACGAAATGAACACTTCTAGGTTTCTATCACTTGACGTTGGTATTTAAATAAATCAACAACAGACGTTGCCGCGGCACAATATCCTAATTGGCAAAACACATGTAACTACTAACGCGAGCCTCTTTTGGTCCGCAAATAGACTTGTGATATCCAGTCAACTCTTCGCTGACTGCTTCAATGGCTCGTGTTCGATTCTTCACTCGCATCATTTCCTTCATCTTGTTCGTCGATAGATTGTAGAAGCTGCGAACGGTAATCGTAGTACTGCAAAAGCTGTTTCACTTCATCGTTTTCGGCACTACCCTTCGCAATCTCCATGTCTGAATATGTCAAACGTTGCACGTGGGGATAAGCAGGCTCCTATAACTCATCAATACAAATAGGAGCAAGGCAATATGTGAACAGAATTTACCATAGTCTTTTCTGGTGGTGGCCATTGACCATCTGCCACGGAATTGTAGACTACTGTTGCCCGGGGGTGATCTATAACAAGATATACCTTCGCGCCACAGAGACTTGCTAGGGCATGTGCTTTATCCACCAAAGTACCAGCCCTCTTCCTGAAAATTGCACGATCGCGTCTCCCAGGGTCTGGTCCACCCATAATGTTCAAATGGGTAAAGAGGAAGAGTAGAAGTGTGAGAATAAATGTATAAGATTAGAAAATTGTAGCAAGCCAGCTCACTTGGCATTTGTTGTGTGCATACAAACGGAAAGATACGGTAAGGTTTATATATTTCTTGACTGAACATATCTAGGCAAGGAAAGATAAAACTCAAACTTGGCCCCACCTGCCATGAACTTCTTTCTAAGTAAATGTTGAGCATGCGTGCCAGTGTAGCTGTTTGTTCTTCCTCCTGGATGTTAGCTGATTTCGGCGCTAGGTCCGCCACGAACCTTCTTCCTCTGCCCGCGTCGCGAGTCCAAGGAGGCACGTTTCCGTCTCTGCCCTTGCTGTGGACCAACCGATTCATCACAACTACCGCAGAGAGCTGCACCAGGGCAACCATGGTCAGGGCGTCCGAACGGTGCATAAAAATGCTGCCGTTGAGCATATGAAGCCAAGCTATCAGGAAACCCACTTATTCGCCAGCGCTTCTTCGTCCTCGTCTTGAGATAGATGTTCACTGTCTTGTCGAGATGGTGTGACAGGAACGTTATCGGTCGACAATAGCGTCCACAGTCTAGGCATAGCTCACCCAAGCCCTCAAATTGCCCAATGACTTCAAGGTCCGTTGTGAAGGTGAGCCCCTGTGGATAGAGTTGCTCCAGTGATTCGACGATCTGTTTGGCTGGCCCCTTGCAGCGTATTACCCCCCAGCACCAGAACGGACTAGTGGTGTCTTCGGGCAAGGTACACATAACAAAGAAAAATCGCGAGATGAGCAAAGCGGTGGCAGCTTCACGGGCCATGCGGGCACTTCCCGGGTAGAGAATTACCAGGTTTCGATAGTGCTCCATCGTCTCAACGGCATCAATGGCACTTGGCTCGTCTTGAAGTGGAATATTGAGCCGTATATAGTCCTGTTTGCGCTCACTTTCTGACTGTTCCACCATCTTAGTCCACTCAGTCTCTGTATCCATTAAGGACATCCAGGCGTTGAAGCTGCGGCGCAAGAAGCTGTCTCGAAATACATGTCGAAAGTGGGGTGAGGAGCCGGCCGCTCGCGCCGTTGCGCCCGTGCCGAGGGACAAGATGCGCGCGGGGTTTTTCCGAGAGGGCCAGATTTGCCGACACAACCGTTTCGCGATATCTGCGGCAAGATTGTCCCGAAGCCCTCCATCCTGGAAAGAACCAAGCGGGTCGATATCAGCTGTGGGGAAAAAGCTTTCAAATGTCAGCGTTGCATCGGACGCGGAGACGGAAAGGGCATACAAGGGTGCAGCGGCTGTGGCTCTAGCACTGGCAGGCTTTCATTAGCGCCGGCCTAAGAGAATCTATTGAACTTAACTTACGCCTCCCAGACAAAAGGTTCACAGTCCGTCTCCACTGGTCGGACAATCTCGCATCCTGTGTCCCAATTGATTCAGATCTCCTGCGTGACTATCGCGCACGTTTCATGGTCAAATCTTACCAGGATCCGTCTCAGAGGTCTCCGAAGCATTGAAATTCCCAAAAACAAATGAAGATGTGTCTTTGGAAATACCTGTTGCTACCACGCCTATTCTCGTATTTGAATATGTTGCGGATGTGTGTTCTGCGCAAAGACCATCGAAAACACGGCTCTTGACGCCGAAAACTGCTTTCAAGGCGGCATCAAAAACACTCCCGTCATAGCACCCATCATGCAAGAGCCATATAAGCCATTTATGGATTGTACTAAATAGCGATAATCTGCCAAATACCGATTGAGAAAGCCGGGATAATGATGAACTCTTTCGTTGTTGGAAGATACAGCGAGCCATATCATCAAAAATTTTGGCGCACTTCAAGACCTCCCAACGCTTCTGAAATAAAGCTAAAACACTGAGCCCTCCTGATATACGTCAGTATCCTGTTCTGTAGAAGACTGATGAACGGGTAGCAATGCAGAACTCAAATATAACCTACCCGAGCTTGTCCCTATGCTGATGTCGATCAAGTCCTGTAATAAACAGGAGCCAAGACTTTCCTGTATCAGAGTCAAAAATTCCAGTGGTATCACGCCTCGAACACCCCCACCGTCAATAGCGAGAACGGTGGGATTCATGGTTGGGGCTAAGATTTCGATCACAAATGGCCTTTGATACAGGCAACAGGGACAAGCTGAGAATTTGAATTGGTACTCCCTCGCAGCGGCAGGCGAACCAAAGACTTGGGCACAGTGATCACATATAGTATGTCCACACTCGAATCGATGTTGCGCGGCCCGTAACAGACATACAAGACAGATTTTGTTAGATCGGATTGAGCATAGTTGGCCACTCCTAGCTTTTAGCAAGTCGCGACGGAGGTGCCAAGATGGCTGTCCGGTTCTGTCAAGATGGTCAAGCATTCCCACCATTTGGCATTCAATTAGGTTTACTAGATTTCCCAGGACAGTCATCCGATCGGACCGCTGGGCAGCTCGGATCGAATGTATTAGAGCAGGACGATAAAGAGTTCGGAAGACGAGGCGGGCATCTAATGCTGCACATATTATTAGATAAGCAGGATCAAATGAAGATTTCTCCATACCGAGCATTCCATCAATGTAGTGATCCATCAACAGAGCGGATGCGACTGAGGGGGCTAGCTCTTCGGAGCTGAGCTCCACCTGTGAACCAAGCTCCTGATAATGCACTATATTAGGGCCCAAGGATAGAGAAACGGGATGGTAAGCTCTAGATGCTTGCACAAAGTCAAATGGTTCTCGTATGTTCTCGGCCGTGTGCCGCAGTGCAAGAGAGAAGAGAGCTGCTAGATGTTTGGCGCTGAGCAGAGTCCTAGTGTCTTCGCGGGCGCTTTGCATATCTTGTATTTGCCCCTTGATTAAAGCTCGCAGAGGCTGGTACCGAGAGTAATCCGACAACATGTGATGTCCTAATCGGACTATGTGAATCGCAGAAAAAGATGCTGACATTGGCCCACTTTCGCACATGTTCAACCTACATTGAAGTTGTTCAACTTCCATTTCGTCCATTTTGTTGTCTACCGAATTCGTGGGAAGCACAATGACCACTCGGGGCCTTATTGACGCTGGAAGTAATGACGCCGAACGTGCGCGGTGTATGGAAATCAGGAAGTCAGCCATGTGGGAATAGTCTGCAAAATCAGCTGCGAATATGCAAACTACATCTGCAAAGAGAAATAGCAAGCGAGCATATATGATTTGCAGTACTTTTTCGGAAGAGTGAGCTTGCCAGGTGATGGGCTGCTCCATACTGGCTGTTTGTTTCCCTAAAGAGGAAAGGGAATGCTTGTATGTCAGGTCGCCATCCGCGAAAAATGCAGGACGCGACATTCTTAGTGTATTCACATCACAGCGTAATCTGACACTAGTCTTTGAGACGCGACGGTTGATGTTATTGTGCGGATACAGTTGCCGAAGACAGGCTTCTTTAGATCTGGTTCCAAGAAAAACACTTAAAGATGGGCACTGGTCAACGCTATCAGCTAGCTCAGCCACCAGGCTTTCAAGACGGCCATGATCTAGAACTGTAAGCTGTCCGCTCTCGCAGGACTTGATCTCAAGCCAATTATTGCTGTTCGTTTGTTGCATGATGGCTTATACAGATCGATAAATCTATTACATAGCCGACAGCGTATCCCACCGGCTTCTTATAGAGAAGATTCCTCACCTTCTCGTCACCCAGAGAGAAAGAATAGTCCTAGATTGAGCCATTCTACCTCATAAGATGCAGGCTAGTGCCTCGCGCGCTTTTTCGGACGTGTTTGATCGATTCACAGGGTGAGCAACTTCCAAGGTAAGGTCGACCGAATAATTTCTTTCTGGCATATTATCCAATGGTGCCAGCAAGATTGAAGCGACACTCTCTAAGTGCTGAGAGGAGCATCTTTGCTGCGAGCCTTTTGCGGTGCCTCGTGCTCGCTTGACGTCTCCCGCCCCACTTCCGGGCGCATGACTCATGGATCTAGTACTCTAATCACTCGAACCGCGGTTAAGCATCAACTAGTTGATTATCGCGCCACGCCATGTGGGGATCTCCTTGCAACCAGCTTCCGGGAAAATGCCGGATAACCCATCCGCAGAACTCCCCCTGCATCAATTTCCGCGAATTAGGAGATTGCTTCATTCGTGTATGAACTAGCAATAGACCTCACTAAATTGACTGCAGTTCAGTTTCCAAGCCTACTACAGGAATCAAGTGAGCGTATCAGAAATTAAACATGAGCTACTTTGGGTATTAGGAAAGGTATCGACTTCGACCAACACCTATCACAGGAGTGATTTGTATGTCAATGAGGCATGTCGTACACAACCTGTACTATATAAGCCCACAGTACTACCAGTGTGTAGACTCCCTTGGTTATCTAGTGTCAGTATATTATCAGGAATCCGCAGAATTGATTTCTCTTTGAATAGCCCTCAATGCACCGCAGTTATGAATGGTGGTATGGAACAAGAACAACTGCAAATGGATCCAGATGTTTACCCACCCTTTAATGATCCTTTTTGGTCCTATGATTATATTGCGGAATCTGAACAAGACGCAAAATATGCTGTCGTTCATTCTTCAAGCGACTACACGAATGAATTGATCGGCCACAGTGAGATGGATTACAACTCAATGACCGAACAAATGCCTTTATCTGCTATTGCAAGCATTATAGAAGAATACTCCCAAGAAGAGCTACAGGGTGTTGGGTACTGGGAGCCCAGGTACGTAAAACCATTTCTTGGAGAAGACTACCTAACAATTCGATAGTAATGACTTTGGTTCATGCCCTGCGCTTCCCGTCATGTAAGAATTACAGAATACCTGAAGACCAAACCCTGACTAAGTCATGTCAAGCAGCGAAACCGAACACCAGACCACTCTTCCTTCCTATATTCAAGCTACGCACCTGAAAACTGCGGGAGTAGAGTTCCAACGCCAATCTATGCCCCATCCTCCAGATCATAGCACCCATACCACTACGAACGATGTACGCAACATGAGAGGCAGTAGCTCAGAAAGTGTCAGTGGATATCCAAGTATTGCGAGAAGGATTGAGGGTGAAATTCAGAGTCTTCTAGTTTCAATGAGAACCCTACAGGAAAGGACCGACAACACATCAAAAAAGGTCGAAAGACTACTGGGAATGGTTGAGAAAATCCAAGAATGCGAGGATCTCGCGGCGAAAAAGGTGGGGGATTTGGCGAAGCGTACCGAGCGTCCGGCGCCTTTCCGTGCACGCAAGCTAGTAACCAGACGAACAAGCCCAGTCACAAAGAGCACATGAATTCAATAACTTTCTCAGTCACGTTGACAAACCATCCGATTAACATGTAATCTCCAATGGTTTCAAGGCTTGGACTCATAGACTTTGCCGTCCGTTCCGAACAGGCCCATTATGCGTGTCATTAATTAGGCTCGAGCCGTCCCACTAATTAATTGAGCCATGGAGACAGATTAGGTGAACTATCTGATCTATGGATGATGTCCAGATCGGACTTTTGACGAGAGCTCGACCCTCTTTGACAAGCAGCAGAGAAGCCCATCATAGCCGATGTAGACCCCACAATTTTCAATAGCCTCAAACGCTAATCCGATATCGGAGATTGCGACAGAATTCTGCCGCTACGCAATCTATTTGGTAAGAGACAGAGTTATTTCGGCCGAGGCCAATCTGCATTTAGGTTCAACTAAGGACACCAAGTTAACCAAATTCGGTAAATGAAAGATTATAGATGTCTGTCCCTCGCTTTCATTGTCCTCACGTCTCTTTTATTCTTCTCTTTAGATCAGACTTGTTGAATTCTCATTCACTATGGAATTTCGCCCAAATCCCTCTTCTCAGCAATGCACGCTAGACTTTTTTTCCTGTCGGACGAATGCACCCCTAGAACGTTTTGAGAAGCTCGAGGGCTTGCTTTCTATGATAGATCTGCCTAAAGTTTATCTTTCTGTGCTTGACCGAAGGGAGTCACTTGCACGTCATTTACATGTTCCTCTTCTTAGCACATTTATCGAAGAAAGGATCAATAATATCTTCACCCGATCTAATCCTTTGTCATCTCAAGAAAGTGGAACAGGACACAGAGAGACTTTGAACTGGGCCGATGTAGTCCGTGAGTTTGATATTGACGGAAATCAGCCCAGTCGAGACGGGGTGCATTCCTGCCTTATCCGAGGGCGATTGATCGACATACCCGAGGCTGACTATGCAAAACTCAAAACTGGCATTCTCCAGCAAATGATCGAGCCCCTGCCAATCGCCGACGATGTGAAGAAAGAGCTGGAAACCATCACTAATGTACTGGCCAATGTGAATCGTTGCTATCGAGAAATTTCAGAAGGTAGGGAAAGTCTTTGGGATAGCTCTTTTGGCCAAAACATGAATATGGTGTTAATGATTTGACAGTCACGCAATATTATCGTCACCTTGTCAAAAGCCTAGAAGACCGCTACCAAGAGATACGTGGTACATTTCTTCCAGAAAGTGATCGAGACTGTCTATCTCCTGCGAATGCTGTCTCGGTGGATAATGTATCGGACAATGTTTCTGATGCTCACATGCAAAGTGTGACGCTACCCGGCTTAGTAAACTCTTTTCATGCTCCTGGAGGGGTATCGCATGCCGACGGAGAACCATACGAGCCTGAAGTACAGTCACCAGATCAGTCAGGTAAACCTGATGACCAACGCCTAAGAAATATCGGCCATCTCCGCTGGACGTCTCATGAAGAGGCGTCGTTGCTTACCTGGATGAAAGCTCGGGAACATTTGACTTGGCCAGAGATTGAGGTAGCATATTTACAAGAGTTTGGAATTGCCAGGAAGCAATCAGCGATACGTACCAAATTGTACCGCTTAAATGCTGCTGGGTCTAACAGATTCATAAGACGAACTCAGCGTAAGCGGAAATTATATCGAGCTACAGCTTCCGTCATCGAGAGGGCTGGAGCCGATGACTCTGATTCATCATGTGGTGAGATAGCTACTCTGAGTCCACCGATTCTGCCGACCAAAATTATACGACTCCCCGTGGGGAAGCTTCCAAGGAGACAGATACGAACAGACTGCCCCGCCGAAGTTCCTGAGAAGCGGCTCAGTGGCCCCGAAATCTCAAACATCATTGGAACGTCAAGTGATACCGAGGAGAATACATCAGTTCCAACTGGCATATCATCAACAACCCGCTCAGATCTCAAAAGTCAAGCATGCAACTCGCATCCCTTTTCTTTGAGAAGGTTACTTGAATAACTGTTTCGGAGCAGCTTCTCATTCACACAAGCAGATAACCAAATGTTGTATATATTCCACTTCACGTGTGTCTTCAAAAACAATCACAATGTACCTTGATACTAGCCATTCCTTCAAGATAGAACTACAATATACTCCAGAGCAGATTAGTATAGTACATACATAAATCAGCTATATCAAACTTCTAACATAAAATCTATAATCAAAAGCAAAACAGACCAATTTGATATAGCACCATCACAGTACACAGATCGACTTATTACTTTAGCTGAGGGATAATGAAATATGAGCAGATGTTGATTTGGTCAGGTACTGTAGTCATGGAAGAGAAAATATGTTCAGCATGAAAGTGATGCGGTACCGGTCGCTAACAATAAAAACTCTGGAGTTGCGAACCGATTTGTCTTCGCAGTGCGGGACATTTATGCTTTTAGTAACCGCCGGTGATAAGCACTGGAAATTATTTCTACATCGCAATTTATTATAGCCCCTACTGATTCCTCTACTGAACAAACCACTGATCAGCTGGGATACTTCGACTGCTCAGTATTTCGATCAAAGAAAAATTGAATGCGATGATATAATGGTTTCGTCCAATACTGTTAGTGCTGGCTCGTTATACATGACCGGCGAGCATATAGTAAGGCATGACATCTACAAGAAAGTTATTTATCTGACCGAGTTTAGCAGAGGCAAATGTCAGACAGCGAGACTGAGGCTACCTGGGCCATGGCAAGGGAGCTATTTGAGCGGCAGCGTCTTTCACGCCACTACCAAGAAAGCTTGGAAACGAGAATTCGCAACGAGCAGGTCGCATGCAGGGAAGCTCAGGAGCGCTGCACATACCTAGAGAAGGTCATCCTGGAGTCTGCAAGTGCAAGATCACAGCAGGATTGGACACTTGCTCGTGTCTTAGAGAGCCGGAATGCACTCAGCGAAGAAGTTCAAAAGGAGAAGGAAAAGGTGCAGAGCCTAGGATCTTGTCTTGTCTATCAGCACAAAGTCAATGAGTTACTGCTTCAAAAGATATATCAACAAGCACCAACCGAATCTGAGATGCTTCACCTCCGACAGGCTCAATTTGAGAATGAATCCCAGCGTCAGTACATATACGCTCTTCAATCGGCTTTGGATGCACAGAAGCAACAGATTCAAAGTATTAAAGAGGATAAGAGGTTCCCAACTCAGCAGAGTTTCGTGTGTTGTTGTTGTGCTTGTGACACTGAAGCTCCTTCCAATGAAGTTGACCCCGCGCTGCCTGAGCATAATCCTTCTGATGACTTCCCATAATTGAGTGACTGTCATCAGCGAGTATTTGGAGGCGTCATCTGAGAAAGAATTCTCTGTTTTATCCTCCTTATCAGGAGTATAAGCATGTTTATATCATATAAAACTTTATGTGAACAGCATCGAGAATAGATGGAATAGGAAACCTTCTACAGTAATAGCTACCGTTAAACAAAAATGTATTGCCCAGCTTTGGTAATATAATTGTATAATATATACATCAACAGTTGATAAAGATGACTTCCTATAGCGATTGTGAATTCCGACTGAAATATAACACGTCGGCATTCTCGACAAGGGTTGAGAACCTGTTATCAATTCTTTCAACCAGCAGAAGGCTTTTGCGCTCTGTTTTAGGCTCGCGATCCTTCTGTAATCCTGGATATAGAGATCCACCCGTCCCCCTCTTTGAAGATCTTTTCACTCTTAACACGATTATGCCCTCCATAGCTGACCTTAACTCCAAACACATCTCCCCCAATTTCTATCATGCAGCAGTCTTATCATCACTCCCTTGAAACGATCTCAGAAGAGATCTCACCTCTAGATCACGAAGTTCTATCTCATGGGGGCACTACATCAAATATTGAGAGGCTTTCATCCCGCTTGCAGCAGTCCAAAAGAGTATCTACAGATATTCGTCAACAACTCCATGACCTTGTTTACGAAATCAGTTACCTAAGAGCCGAGCTTCAATGGCAGAAGGAATCAAAGCAGATTTTATTACATTTCCATGAGGAAATCTTCCGACTTTTTCATTTGATGGAGGATATGTTGGTTGGAGTCACTGCAAAACTCAATGAATCCGAACAGAGATATCTTGATGTTTTAGGGATCAAAAGTCATGGCAGCCAGGCTGAGGGAGACATGATATGATTGGTATGTACTGAAACTTTGAGTTGCTTCATCAGCAAAGACACTAATCAATAATTCTGGATCAAAGCCCCCCTGCTTCGGTGTAAGCTGGCTGAATGAAGGGCGCAAGCTGGGCTGTTCATCCTGTCGGAGTAACACATAAGACGTACCGTGATTCTCAGCTATTTTATTCTCCATGGTCTTTTTCCATATAATCATCTTCAATATTAATGATGACAGTGTCTCCGGCCTTTTATGCCTGATGCAATCGTCCCGGTAGGCGGCTCTGAGCCCTTGATCATAGAGTTAACACAACAGAAAGACCAAAAATTCCGGCAGGGCTCCTGTTAGTCAGTTTTCTTTGTAAATATGCCTTAGACCGGATATCCACACTTTCTCCCCTTATACAGCTTGGATGCTTGTATTATATGTCAGATGGCCACCAGCCCCAGGGAGGAGAACTATTCCTCTCAAATACTGACTTGAATTTTTATAGGGTTCTATTTATCAAAAAGAATTTGGTTCAGCGTAATTGAGCGATTGGCCTTTCGGCTTCATCAAGCTGTTTGAGTACAAAAGGTGAGTTTCGTTCTCAAAATCTATCAACATCACCGATTAAAGTTGTCGAGCTGACCTGCTGTAGGATTGTAATATGCAATCGAATACAACTTATACTAGACAATAACCTACCACTCGACACAATTTCAAATATAATCAATTGACGCTTTTCTCTTTAAAAGTGACTATAGTTATCGATTCGCTTTAGTGGATTGCCGCAGCCAGAGCATTTTTCAGCGAATTTCTCTAAATATTTTCCGAAGCGTATAATTTCCCCCAAGTGTCTCAAAGGACTCACAAACAGGAAATACATAATTTCAGCGGCTTGTCGCTAGACCCATCGTCACGGAAACTTGAATGTTGAACGTTTAACCTCCATGGATTACAGTGCATTGGTGATATGCATACTGTCCAACATCGAAACATAGATCACGTTCCACCTAAATACCAGAGCTGCCTTAAGATTCTTCAACACACTTACCATTTCTTGAGCGAATTCAATCTTTGTTTTCTTGCATTCTGAACGATCAACTAGACGTTGCCATATAGTATTGCAGATGTGCTCAACGTGGTCGTTCTCAGGGTCTGCAAGGAATTGACGGAGCTGTTTGGAAACCAAGCCGGATCCGTCAAAATTCCACGTAAGAAAGGATAGCTTGAGCAATGTTTCGCGGTGTAGGGTTTGAGAAATAGTCTTGACATGATCACACAGTAGTTTATTGTTGAATATGTGCGATATATCTTCGTCGAAAGATTCCTCTCCTCCAAACCTCTGGCAAGCCTCCAGAAGCAACTTGGCTTCTGGATGCAGTCTTCGCTGAACGGAATCACAGTCAAAAGCTTTTTGATTCAGGCAAGACACCTGAAGAGCTTTTAAAACTGATTCTGCTGGACTGCGCAGGATAAGTTCTGAAAGCGGGGCCTCGACGACCTTCAATTGGCTTTAGCACTTTTCATAGAATAATGAGTTGATGACCTACCATGATGTATTTGATTCCAAGCAACTATAGAGACTAAGAAGTAAATGAATGGTAGTGTGAATTGTCGTAAATTGCGGAGATAATGACTTGGAACAAAAATTATATCAGCCCGGCTTTCTAAGGCCAAATGATCATGGACTCGTTCCTCTCTTTGAATAACAACACCAATGTAAAAGGTTTCACGAGAGGCGTGATGGTTCGCAACTCACCCTCAATTTATCAGGTTTGATAGTTTAATTATTTCCTCTGAATGGGACTAGCCGCTGACACCAATTCATCTGACATGAATTATCCTATCCCAGTCCGTGCGCCGTTACTATACCCGGATAACCGATACCTGTTTCGTAAGGACAATAGTAAAACCGCATAGTAGCCAGGGAAACAGTAATCTAAATCGCTGCTACCGGCCAACAAGGCAGACGCTGAGGTATTTATCACTAAAGGCCTACATGGCTTAGTACATCGCCCCATGCTATGTCAAATTAAGTAAGGTTTGCCTACAAGGGTACCTATGTAAAGAGTGAGGAAAGCGCGAACTCCTCGCCAGACTGGTTTACGGATATATGCTATTGTTCTTGTACTTTATACATATTCAAGTGAAAAATCAAACCTGGGCCACCGATCACTTTAGCCATTTAAAAGCTAACTCTATAATTAGAAGATTCAATCTACTGACCAAGAGTTAGATAAAAGTGCCTCACCATGGTTATATGCCTTGGATTTTTGACTTAATTCTCACAAAGTAATGACTCCACACTAATCCTTTTTGTTACCGCTGTCAAACCTTGACTCGCCTGCAGATGTGTAGTAGGCTGAGGATTGGGATGGCGATGATTCTTGCTCGTCCATGCTATATGCAAGTTTAACAGAACTCCTAGCTAATGCGTAATCAGAGTTAGGACTTACTCCGCTCTTCTCTTTTCTTGACTTTGCTACACAAATATGTGATATCCTCAAGTCGTACCTTTCTCAATCGCTGGAACCTTGTGAGCACCGAGTCATCAACCGGCTCAAAGGAAGAGAGAATCTTGATTGCCACGCTCAAACGGTCTTTGTGATAATCAGTTGCCAGCTATACATGTTTTCTTTGCGATAAACTGACCTCTTTTCTTTAATTTAGTTGGGTGGATATAAGTAATTTCAGCAGGCCACCATTTCGGTTTCTGTTCTGTACTGGAAAATCTGAGTCTCTTCTCGGGATAAAGGTTTTCCGCAAGCATAAGAAGAAGTCTTGTCAAACTTGAAGCGTGTAGATTTGAAAATATCTTGTTATGAAAACCTGAGTCTTTTCCCGGAGCCATATTTGAAGACAAGAGAGGAGTAATGAATTAATCCTAATACTTGAATCTTGTCTATTGTTATTAGAAGCGCGAGCTTGTTTATAAGCCTTGTTTCCCTGGTCTAGTGCAAAAAACAAGGAGCCCTTCTCTAACTTCGTAAATCAAAATCCCACTTCGAGAACGTTCGTGTATCATAGTTACTAACTTATTATTGTTTTGGATATTTAAGGCGGAATTACTTGACTGAGATAGTAGTTGCTACTATAAAACTGGGCGTCCAACTAATGCGAGAGGTATATTCTGGATTTTTGGAGAGCAGGAGCGTTATGAGAACACGCTCTTGAGCATAATTGGTTGTGCTAGCACACTCTGAGTCTGAGTGGCTCAAGTATGCATGACCACAGTAAGCACTAAAAAATATCTGTAAATTACCACTTTCAGTGCCAGTCCAAGTGTGATGAGTTCTAAATTCCCGCATATGAAGCCGCTCTCCTTTAGAGGATCTATCTGTCCGATTATGAGGTGATAATACGCCCAACGATACCGTTACCAAAAATTTCGACGTATTCCAACTAATCGGATTCTCATGTCGGTACTGATATGTTACTGAGTGTGGGTTGCTGGCCCAAGCATATGTAGGAAGACCTTTCCGGTTCCAGAATAGTAAGGGAGCAATCCAAGAACAAATACCACGCACCTGATGACAAGACTCGGACCCCTCCCAGGGTCAGCCCCTTTATTCCCAAAGCACTGTGCGACATTACGAAGCAGACTTTTAACTCATCACCTCGCGGCTTTTCGCAAAATTTCTCAATCAATGTGCACTCCTTTGGCAGCTATCTTGGCCCAGCACACCCCTATTCGTTCCAATGGGAGGACAGCCTAGGACTTCTCGTTCAATAACGGCAGAGGCTTTGTTGAAATCTGTCACTAAGAGGCTAGGTGACCTTGAGAGTTTCTTAGAAGATGACCAGACAACTGTTCTGTACGCACTTGCTCAGATACAAGGTAACACAGACCGAAGGACTGCGTATCTCTTGGCGGAAAGCGGCAAATCACGGCACAGACTTATTGCAAGCGAGCTTTTTAAGCGGCTTCTTGCAGTTAGATATCTTGCTGCAAGCTATGAGACATGGTTACAGGTTACTGGAGAAGGGTCTAGGATAGGTACCTCTGAAGACCATCCTAAGAATCATGGCCTTTGCGGATCTTTCTTGAGGGGAAAAGAGCTGCCCACCACCTCTCAGGCTAGGGGTTGGATCGAGTGTGGCCAGAAGCTTCTTCGAATCGAAAGAAATGTTGGCCTAGCAGGGGCTTCGCTCGCCCTTATGCTTGCCCTGCCTAAATTCCCGCACTTTTATGAAGCTCAGGTTACTGAATTGATTCGCTTGCTGAACAACGGCTACTTTCCTGAGGTCATGCAAATGGCACTTCAGATCTCTCCACGATATCTGATTTACATCGATGTATATGGAAAAATGTTAGGTCTGGCATCTCCCATTATACCTCTGTCTGATTTCAATCTGATGATGTTGAGTTCTTTAGACACGACCAGCCCAGTCCACATGCAATCGCCCAGACCAATAAGTCAACAACAGCCTCACAGCTACAGCCTAGATTTTCATGAATGACAATGCCTTAGGGTTTTCAATGTCCATCGCCATTGGAAGTGTCGAGAACCCCTGCCAAACCATTCGAGTGCCTCCCTTCGGCGAAAGATGTACATAAAGTGCCCCCTCCACAAATAAGCATTGCTTGGTGCTCACAACCATTGCATGTGTATCTTTGTCCTGACTAAGCTCGAATTCCTCATCGGTTTGGTGATGGGATGCCGTATAGAGCTTAAACAATCCATTATCCCACTCCGCGGACTTGCCCAGCGGACGGAAGACGGATACAGCATCACGTGATGGATGTGCTCGCATCATCTGCTCGGCCTCATTGTTGTCTTTGAAGTCGATGATCGCAGGCCCCTGTTTGATGATTTTACTGAAGTCCGTGCCAAATCTCTTTGCGAGAATATCTTGAAACTACTATCGTTCTTAGTTCAACCGGCTAGTCGGATCTGTGGAGACGTACCTTGCGATCTGACATCAGAAATGCTTTGCACTCATTTCCTCCTTTACAGTAATCAAACATTGGTGTGGACAACTTCTGGTTCTCTTCAAAAGCCTTGTTCACTTTCGCTATCTTCTCATCTGTGGGCGTTTTGTCATCTACACACAGATAACCAAGGTGTTCCATCGTGTGGGAAGCGAAGTCGAATGAGATGAGCTGTGTCCCCATGGGCAAGTTTCCTTGCCGGTAACTGTCAGCCATTCCGACAACGATCTGATGACTAATAATAAAAGTGTCGAAGTAGTTGGTTTTGATATTTTCGGTGCAATACTGATTGAACACTGGTGAAAATTGGTAGCCATTACAGAACAGGTTCTATTATATAAATACTTTGAACAAGTTATTTGTTTGTCAAAACATTGAATATTATGCATGTGTACAGCAAAGCAATGCCTGACGATGTAGAGCACAGATAAATGATGTTGGTAGTTTCATACCGTAGCATAGGCGCCCCAAAGATGCACGAATGCTTGAGCAACAGTCCAATTCAGTCCGTGATTATTTGCGGATTACAGGCATACTACTCGAAAAATTGTGACATGTCATCGAATTGTACAGAGCTCAAAATAGAGAGCAGGTGTGGTTAGTGAATCCAGAACAGCTTTTCAGTAGATGCACTACAGTTAAGGTACAGAGGAGTTAGGAATTTGTAATCAAAATAGTGCATCAAAGTCTCGCTTCTTTCGTCAGACTTCATAACTTGCTTGCGATATGTACATCGATACTTTGCCTTCATTGCACTTAGGGGACTAAACCTGTGCATCCCATCTCATCCATACTTCAAATCTGCGCCTCATCCGGACACAAACCCATAGAGCTCCATGTAAAAAGAAGCATAAGAAGGATACTGACTTGTGCAAGATAGTTCTGGACACACCAAAAGCCGCAGCGTTGAACAGTTTCCCAGCCACGAAAAGCCTCGTTCGAAAGGTAATGTCAAGCATAGGATGATCTGCTTGCCATATCAATAGCCTTCCAGGGATGGTTCTCTCAAGAAGAGAGTAAGGCACAACCTTAAACCCCTCATTAACAGAAATTGGGCAAAATAAAGCACATCCTCGCTGGTGTCTTGCAGCGGCTCGTAATCCATCGCCGCCAAATAAGGGCTGAAAATCCTGGTCGTTGCGGTGCTGTATCACAAAAGAAAGAACATCAAGGAAGAAACCTCCACGATAAAGAAGGAATGCCCAACCAAATACCGACTTTCTCAATTCTTGGATGGGTATCGCAAAGCTGTATGTGCTTGCTTCAACAACAACAAAGGGGCCTTCGACTCTCCGAATCTGCAAGGCATTCCATGGCTACTCAAAGTTAAATCTCGCAGCCATCTTAAAACAAGAAGTACTTACTTCAATCGTTAGAATATGGATCAGGGTGATGCCGGCTGATAAAAAATGTATCATGGCTGAGACTATCTCATGCAGCACTCTTAAGGCAAGCGATGCTTGAGTTTCTGTGTCGCTCTGGGAGGTCATATCTTCACCAAGCTGTGGAATCGGGTTGAAAAGACAGGAGGCTGATATCTGAGGCTTGTGACTAAATACCCACAAACTTGTGCCATTGGAAAATGAATGTTGAAAGTGCACAGGTCTCACATTTAACATCCCGTACAAGATTATCCTACTGCTAGTGTTCTGGCTTACGATCATTATCGTCTATATCCACTGCCTAGGTCGTTGATGATCGAGCATCCGGAGTATGCCGATCAGATAATTGGCCCAGTCAGCCTAGTCTCATTCACCCCCAAGAGATGCTCCCTGGGAAAATGATTCATCGATTTGGCGTAAGTTAGACAATTTTACGGGCAGCGCTCGATCAAAAAGACAATGCCTAGTTTTAGTCGGTATTTTCTTGCCTTTTGATATGCTTGGATTCGAGTGTTTTCATGGGTCTTGCGGAAGTTTCTGTCCGGACCGGCCATTTGAGATGTTCTAGCACATAACCAGTTTTAAAATACAACTTAAGGTAATCAAGGTGATAGCTTTAGTACCTTAATTCGTGTTCTAGACCTCAATTACGAGACACTGGGTCATTTTGAAAAGCGACAGGACTCAGGAGGTGGACAATAGTGTGCTTCGGGTTTTGACGACATTCGTCTTAACAACGCAGAGGGCAGTGACAAAATTCGACTGGCGATTTGAGAGGAAAACTCAACGATCTTTGATAGTCTATTGGGTAGTGATTATCTACTCTTGGAAACTTTATCTTCAGAGCATTAGAAATATTTCTAAAAAAAAAATCGATTGGGTTATGTAACTTCTTGGGTTTTCCGAAGCGCTAATGCACAAGATGTCAACATTGTTGATGTTTTTTGCATTAGCGTCCATCTATCCAGGGATGAAGCTGTCCGTCCTCAAGAACGAATCTCACTAAGCACCATGTGTTCATCTGACACGTAATCCACCCATCCAGAAAAACAACGGGTCGCACGTATTCTATCTCTACCAAACGAATAATAAGCCATGATTGTATATCATACGGTAATAGTGGTGAATTTAGCTCGAGGGATTGTTAAATTCTCAAAAGCAACTAGCAAGCAAAACCCGCCCCCATAAGTTTCTTTCTGCAAATCAGAGACCAGAAGAGACAGGTTGGGGAGCTTCAACCATTTGGAACGTTTGTGACTTGCCAACAGAGATTCACAAAATCGCTCGAGCTGATGGCCAAGCGACTGCGCAACGCATTTCGTCCTCCAGTGCCTACTCTGACCATACAAACTCATTACTTAGAAGGCCGCACATATGTGAATCTTAGCAGGGCATATGATAGATTATGATGATTATCAACAGCAATACAGTCTAGTCAATCAGGACTACCCTACATATATAACGAGTGCTCTCCATTCCCTCAGTATTACAATTCCAAACATCCACAATCTTCAGGCTGTGCGAATTCACCATAGGTTTTACCACATAGTAAGTTTCCTTATGTTGGTATCTTTTCAGAGTCTAATTGATAAAACAGTCAGCAATGTCGAAAATCTCCAAAGCCGCATTCGAAGGGTTAGCTAAGAAAATACGCGAAAACTCCGAAACCTTGAAGAACCTCACTTTTGCCGATAACCAGACTTCAAAGACTGCCGTGAAGACCAAGGACCTTCGATTTGATGTGCACCGAAATACTAGAGATCCAACGATGGCAACCGGAATAATCCAGGCGAACAGTCAGGCAGAAGATAGGACAGTGCAGAATTTCATCAAGGGGAAAACTGGCGGACACAAGGGTACACACCAGGTCATTGGAGAAAAGATCACTTTTGGTCTTGGGGAGAACTTCAAAGCTGATGATGTCGCATCTGCGGTTGAAAATACTGAGTAGTGACAAGTCTAAACAAGGCTCTTGTCGGCATTAGTTACTGCCAAACCTCATTCTAATGCCTGCACTAGCTCGATGACTCTATCGATTAGCATAAACGTGATGATATTCTTGTTTGCCATCTAAAACTGGCGAATGATATCTACAAACTATTCTTTCGTCCGCGATGATTCTTCTAGTAGTACACTAGACAATCGAACACATATTTTTGGTTGTTCATTAAGTCATTATAGGCGATGAATGCAGATTCAACGACTTATCAGAATAGGTGCCGTTGTGGAAAAGCTCATCTTGGACTCGAGAACGGAACGACCCTCCGCTTCTTGTCAGTCTCAGCTTGTACATAATGTTGGACTCTTTGATCCTTGCTTCTTTTGACTAATGTTCTGTAGATCCAATAGACAATATCAATCCATATAGCAATTAACTTTCAAACTTATTTAGTTGTGCGCTCGTGTTTCACGGGCAGTGCCAAGACCGCAGGCCAAATCCCGGATCTCCGGGGATACCGTTTTCGGTAAGCGACCCGCTATAGTAACCGGCCCGCCAGCTTTGTCCCGCAGATTAGTCATCGAATGGGCCATTAATCCGTATAAATTACTCCTAGTTGACTCCCAGTTTGCTCTTTCACAGCTATGCTTCTCAGTGAATATTCAATGGCTGTGCCGCGAATCATCAGATCTAAACTCTCTAAATGTGTGAAAAATATGCAGTCAGAACTACGACCTGTTCTTTGTCGGACTCTCACGGATGGCTCAGGTATGTTGTTTTCAGAGACTGTTAGTTTTGACTAATTTGCCAGCAGAAATCCCTATTGAAGAATGTGATCTATTCGGTTACCAGCGATATCGGTGGCTGTAGGTTGTCTACTCCATATCATTCCAGCTGACTAAACGTTCTAGAAACGGCGAATCAAGAGAACTTGCAAGACGTTACCTGAAATTTGACTTGCGTCAACTTGTTCATACAAGTATCCAAGCCATAGGAGGAGATGGACTACAATGTATTCATCATCAATTTGTCTATAAGTCCTTGATCTAACAGTGATTGCCAGGCACGAAAGTTTCCAAATGTGTTGAAGGGCAGTTCAATAAGGCATTCGTATTGACTATGAGCAATGGCGATGAAGTTGTTGCCAGACTGCCCAACCCGAACGCAGGCCCTGCATTTTATACAATTGCCTCCGAGGTGGCAACTCGTCAGTTTGTACGTCTTGATATCGCTTGCTGTTGATTAAACTAATAAAGCCAGGCTCGCGAAATCATGGGATTGCCTGTCCCTAAAATCTACACCTGGTCATCAGACTCATCAAATCCGGTAGGATCAGAGTATATTCTCGAAGAAAAGGCTACAGGTCAACCACTGGGCAAACTATGGGCCCAGATGTCAATGCCATCACGATGCGAGATTATAGACCAGGTAATTGATATAGAGAAGAAACTTACATCGGTGTCATTCTCAAAGCATGGCTGCATATACCATACATCTGTTCTGAGCTCGAAGATTTCTGTTTATGACAGCTTAGATTCAATGCTGGACAGTGCGTCATTACCGGAAGTGCGCCAGACTTCGGAACTTTCCAGGTTCACGATAGGTCCTTCAAATGACCGCAGAATGTGGCAATCTGAAAGGAAATTCCTGAAACTCGATTGGGGTCCATGTAAGCTCAACCAGATTCCCTCCGTTTTACGGGCTCACCAGCTTAATCATTTTAAGGGTCAAACACTGCCGACTATGCAATGGCTCTTGGGAAAAATGAACTTTCTTGGGCGCAGTCTCAAGCAAGACCAAGAATCAATCCATATCGCTCGATTGACAAGCCAGAAAGTCCGGAAGAATACCGATCTCTTCTTGAGCGCTATCTAATAATTTCACCCTACCTCATACCAGGACCAGAGACCGGTGAACCGCTCAATACTTTATCACATCCCGATCTGCATCTTGATAACATATTTATCAATCCGGATACAAACCAAATTACTTCAATAATTGACTGGCAGCTGGCAGCTGTAGCACCTATATGTCTGCAGCGCCCCCATCCACAGATGCTAGAGCTTTCACCTAGTCCTCGTACCAGTCAACAAAATTTGCTTGAGAAGGAACTTCTCGAATACTATTATGAGGGCACTAAAAATGCCAACAATATACGGACAAGAGTCTTCAGAAATCCATGCCTTACAACAAGACTCGACCCCTTAAACTTGATCTCAGGATGTTGGGAGCGGCAGGACACATTTTCGTTGCGCGAGGCTCTGATTAAAATAGTTGCACTCTGGACGCGATTAGGCTATAGCAGCCCGTGCCCAGTTGAATTTACAGAGGAGGAACTAACAGAACATCATAACGAAAGAAATCTTGTTCAGGGGTTATCCACCATCGTGCAACAGTTGGCAGACGAAGGACTCATTCCAATTGGGGGTATGGTCCAACCGGAAGAGTACGAACAGGCTAGAATGGTGAGTGACTGGGCTAAACGGGAATTTATCAGCCTAGCTGAGGATGAGCATCAAAAGAATTTGCATATGATGGTATGGCCGTACTAGAAATAAGAAAATGTACCGAGTTTGAATTCTCTTAGCTCTTTTATTTGTGCAAAACTCATTGCTATAACTTGCTGACGAATGTACCTTCCTCTTTCGCTTGCAAGTGGCTTTCTACAATCCCAAGAGCAAAGCTTATTATAGTTAATGCTACCATCACTTCTAGGTTTATTGTCCCTGGTATATGTAATCGCCATCAATATGAGCACGACGACCGGGTCCCACCAGAAGATTCGGAACATTGCTGACATCATTTGTCTTGGAAGAATGCTTCCCCAAACATAGTTAATTGCCGATGTTCTCGGAATGTGCGTAGATTCGTTTACATGAAACGGCGGCCGAAATCTGACATGAAGCTCGACCTCATTTATAATTATTGCTAGCGTTCGGACCACGCTTTGAAAATTGCAGCTCGTTGTCCCGGCCTGCTATTGGTTGTCACTAACACCTTCGTGATTAATCAGCTTCCTTGTCATCTCCCGTGACTGCTAGGTTACCCCGCTTTTTGCTCCTTTCTTCAATGTTGATGTGCTATCTAAGAATCATTGGAATCGCCCATTTGTTTCTATTGCTAAGTTATTATACAGTTGAAAGCTCTGATGGCCGACGACTCGTATACTCATCAACAATAAGATACTTCGTCTGGTTTCATGAACTCGTTGGCTTATCCTGAACGCAGTTTCCCAGCGCACCTACCCACGTATACTGCGGCCGGCATGCTTATTGGTGACTTGAGCCGGCTCCCTCCTCTTTGTTGAGACTGACCTGACAAACGCTTTTGAGAATATCAAAAAGCAGACATGGAACTTATTAGTGCAGTCTGTCCCGCTCAGGCCACCGAAGTATCGAGTAATGCATCTGGCAAAATTGATATTCTTCGACGGGTAAGGGTTGACAAGCACAATCACTATACAAGGCTAACAAGCATAGGCCACTCAATTTATCATCTGTAACAAGCAGTTTCTCTCCGATGATTTGAGGCTTTCTTTATTCAAGGCCTTTGGTCAAAATGACATAAAGTCTTCTGGAATAGAGCGATCTCGTACACGAGCAAGAGATGCTCGGGAGCGCATCGGCAGAGCCACTGAAAAGGACATTCTACCAACACCAGAAACCCTCTCACTCATCGCGGAAATCAGAGCAGCTCCATCCAAATTCTGGACAGCCAAACTGAGAGTGAGCCTGGAGTGGGACGCGAATATATTGCGCCAGCTATATCACGGAAGCAGGGAAAATGACCGACTTTCTGTAACCTACCGGGCGTTTTACACATCTGCGACATACCTCTTTGTTCGGCTGATTTGCGAAAGATTCAATGTGCGAATCTTCTCAGAACGCGTCTTACGCTACTGCACGACCTTGATTGATCCTAACGGGAAAGAGGATGTCGAATCTGTCAAGAAAAACCTCAAGGATGACTACAAGGCTGGTCTCATATGGAATACCTATGCAGAACACTTGGGCGGGTATGGCACATTCTTCTTAATTGGAGTAGCTCCAGCATGGATGTAAGTATTCGGATACAATTAATCATTCTAGCTTTACTGAGTGCGGAAGGTTCGAAATATCTCTCAACAAACGTGATGATCTTGATTTTGTCGTTTCTCATCTAACTTCGATCAATGTCCCACATACTGCCGCACAATACGACCTGCACGGCATTGGTTCTCAAATCATATATGAGATAACACAACGAGCTGGGTCAATCCTACCATCGCGTCTAGCCCGAAGGAACAAGAAATCTAAATCAAATAAGTTACCTGGGTCTAGTCGGTCAGGGGCCACCAACTCTATGGTGGTTTCAGACCAAATCCAAGGCCGGTTATCATCTTCTGACTTCATAACTATACCAGACATCAACTCCCCGGGTAATAATCCAGGTAATTAGAGTCTACCTCATGTTCTTGTGCTTTCTGGAATCTCCCTTCGCTAAATCTGTTTGTAGGGCCCGAACATCAAAATGTTTTGAATCAATTACAATTCAGAGCCGATCATGATTCTGTGAGTAGCTATAATATGTCTTTGTCAATACAGAACACCTCAGGACTAGACAAAGATGTTGTCTCAGTCCATAGTTTGGAAGACGAGCGTTCTACACTGCCTGCTTCAGGTATACATCAGGGTACGTTTTCCCTTATCTTATTAGTGCTTTTTGCGCCTAGAACCTAAAGTTTTCATCCTAGAGAAAGTCTCCATTTTTGGACCCTCGCCGCATGATCAAACATCCTACTCTCCATCCTTCGATAATGCGGTCCGAGGATTTGAGGATGTCCTTTATCACGCTGCAGGCGAGGAAGTGATCTCCCAGAATATCGCTGAAGGTTTTGAGGATGTGAATGGTCACACATTCGGGGTTCTAAGCTCCGGCAATTTTTCTCAACGCCTCCCAGAGGACATTTGCCGCCAAAGAGAGAGCATGTCTAATCTTTATGATATCGCTCAAGGCTTTGAAACCGCACACTATCAGACCCAATTGACTTACGGTAATGTGATTCAAGGGTTCGAGAATGGGATTCACCATACGATCTGAATTTGAATATTAGTGGTACCTCGATCGGTCTTCGTATATCAAAGATATAGCTACCTTTGGATCTGTTGAATAATAAAAAAACTAGAATCAGAGACAAACTTGTAGTTGGGGTATGATAATATGTAAAGCTTCAAGGCTGGCATGATGGAGCGCAAATCAATCAATTATCTGTAACACTTCATGTAAGATCAGATATTACCAGTACCGTTAGTTTGGCACCTTCCGACACTTCGACGCTACATTCCCTGAAAATATGATAATAGTGGCTTGTATCCAAGGCCAACCCTTCCATATATACCTCCCCACACACTTCAAGAGGAATCATTATTGTGAAGGTTTGACCAACAATTGCCTTCCCAGGAAACACGACGAGACCCCCTCTTTTATAGCTCAATATTTCCCGCGTTTCGCATTCCTTTGTCGTTTGTGATAGCCCCTACCAAAGCTGTCAGAATCAAGGCTCTGCTAAATTTTTCCCCAGAATTCTGACCTTTGCTGAATACTCCGAAATTGCATAGTTGATTGGATCGTCGCAAGCATCTGTTGCGAAGAATCGTGCAATCGTACTGCGTTTCGGTCTCGGTAAGGATTCAGCAACCGGCTTGACCTCTTTCCATGCTTCAGTGGCGTAAATCTTGACCTTTTCCGATTGCAAAGGGATAAATGAGGCCGAAGGCCTGTCGGATGAAGACATGAATGAGGCCAAGCGTCAAGACAAGCTGATGGCGGACGAGGTTTATTGGTCGTATGTTAACCTTTGGCAAGTAGAGATAACGGTGTTTTGATAATGGATCTTCTGGATGAGAAGAGAGCGACGGGCAGAACCCCTTTCTTGTTGTCTTTCGTTGTTGAACATTTGGGCGTTGTAGAGGGACATTTAAATGTGAGGGGACGAAGCAGGTCGCTTTTGAGGTGGGGTATGTCTCGTGACTCTTTATAACAACTATTGGCTGAATTTCAAGGGCGGTGAAAAGAGCCTATGAGGATGATAAACCCCTGCCATACTCCACGTGACTCACTCTTTTTAATATTCGTTCCGTTTCGCCCTCTTTTCCACCTCTCCCCCCGAACGCTGTGATTTCGAAGGTTGCAAAGAAGCCTTTCCCACCTCGAGTCAGCGCGTACCTTAGATCACATAATCTCGTGCTTAGCGACCCAATATTTGCCTGACTACAATAGCGTTGACAAATTTGGAATTTGGAGTAGTCATCCTCTCGGGCCCGCCACCGAGGATTTCACACTGGAAAACGGTCTTTTTTCGCTGTATTTAGGACGGTTGCGATATCAGGTATACTTGAATTGTTTGTTACTACCCAGAAATTGAACTTCTTGACGTTTTACCGGATTCCGTCGCAAAAATCCTTTAGTCCAGCACAGACTTCGTGTTCATTCAGTCTCCAAGCCTCCCGAATTACCGCGCAGACTACATCTAGTAAGGTGAACATCTTCACATTGTGGCCTCAACAGTATCATTCTGCCTAGTCATACTCTATGGAGACTTCTCAAATTTCATTATTCATTTAGAGGCTGGAAATTGCCTGTCAGGCGTTACTGAGGGAAATATGGATGGAATTGCCCGCGAATTTCACCAGAGCTGGGAATATATTGTATCTGAGGATGGAGCGTGGCTTTACAAATGTCCAAGCTGTGAAAAGGAATTCTCAGAATTGTCTTCGCTGTTCCAACATGTTGAGGATATCCTAGTGGTCTCCTTTCTCAGTCGTGGACACGGTTGTTTGGCTAAGCTAGAACGATTTGTGTCTCGTAGCCTAGAATAGGTAAAGATATTTTCTTCTTTTTGAGCATTTGTGATCACGCCAGCATGCATCTCAGTGTGATGCACTCTCTTCTGATATATTGCTGTACTAGATTATTCAAATATCACTACCCTCCCCAGGTCACAGAATCTGCATGACTCGCATGAATCATAACCTACGGGTATATTGTCGCCTCCGGTGGTAGAGTCTTGACTTACAGCAACCCGGGCGCTCTTCCCGTCAATGTAGCTCTTTTCCACAATTCGTTTCGGCAGTTCATGTCTTCTGATTGCGAGTCCTTGCAAGGGCACTCACTTTTAGCACTATGTAGAAGTAAATGCCTTCCCTATTACATCTCGAACTTGGGTGCTACTCTCGGATAAATATCTTATCCGATGTGCCGTCCCGGTGGGCTCGACAATGATGGTTTGATAACAGTTATTGTTCCTAAGTCCTTACTCATCAATAGAACACACCCCTTTCAGGCAACCACCAGTTAAGGCCTGTCAGATTCGGTCGATTACAAGTCTTTGTTCCTGAAAGCCGAGAAGAAATCAAAGAAAGCTGACGAAGAACGAAGGAAAGCCGAGGAGGGAAGGAGGCAGGAGAAGATACTGAGAGAGCAGGCAGAAGCACGAAATCGCCAGACTACCTTCGAAGAATTTATTCAATATTGTCATAATCTTCTTTCAAAGCCTCTAAAAGCCGGAGATCCCGCTCAGTCTACTACTGGCAAGATTCCCTCCCCTACCGGCAAGTACTGCCCTCTACGACTGGAATCCTGGACAGATTGTGTCTCTAAGCAACAGCGGGTTTACAACTCAGTTCGTCAATATCTCCATCCTCTGGGCAGCGAAGCACCGCGATTATTCAGTCCCTGCATTGTACTAGAAGAGTACGGGCAGCGTTTTGCCGCCCGACCCATCACGAGCGAAAAGGACCTGGAGGTGTATGAGCGTTTCGCTGTGGAAAATCATGTTTTTGATATTATCTCAGCGCTGTGCAAGATACCGAGTGCTCGGGAGGAATTCGGCCTAGGGGACGGGGTGTGGTTCGACAACCACGCCAATGCTCTTGACGAAAGTCCGCCAGACGAAACAAATTCGAAGGAACGACCTGCCCGCCCCGATTAATTCTGTATCCACCGTGACGACGGAGATACCAGGACCTTGTTGACTACAGTCGAGTACAAACCGCTGTATAGACTGTCTAACGAGAATCTTAGGGCGGGACTTCGACCGATGAACTTTTACTACGAGATTGTCGACCCAGAAACAGTTCCTACTGACGGGCCGGAGAAATTAAGATATAACGCCGCTCACCTTGCCGGCTCTGCGATCGTTCAGGAATACCATGTGATGATTCAGGAAGGTCTGGAGTACTTATACTTGACTACTGGGCTTGGGGTTGTGCTCCTACGGGTGCCCGACGACTGCTCGACTTTGTACTACTACTTGGGCGAGCCGAATCTCGACGTCGAGAGTGTTATTGAGGGCCCTCGGACAGCAAAAGAGAGAGTGCTTTGTCTGTGCCTTATGAGCTTCCAGTCGGCCTATCGAGATCAATCCTGGCGGAACGCTGCTCGATCACAGCTCTCAATCTGGAAAACTAGTTTCGGCCATGCACGATCCCAAATTTTACCGGGCGAGTTGCGACAGAAGCCTCCAGGATCCGATTACACCAGCCTGGAATATACTAGCTCGGAGATGACGTCATCTGAATACCAGCCATCATCTCCTTTCAAATCGCCTGCCTCCCTCAGTCGCCGCCCGTCCACTCGTTCCACTCGTTCCACTCGCTGTGCGCCTGCCAATGTCAACCGTCGCGAGGATTCTTCAGAGCCTGATGATGATTTGACACCTGCTGCGCAACGAAAGCGCGGTTTTAGTCAGATCGCGTCCTCGCCGCCCGCACCGCGCCCTACTCCGACCACCCCAAAGAATCCCCTCAACGCCATGTCGGTCGATTTCGCCCACACTCTTATGAGTTTTGCACGCAAAAATGTCTTTTGAGTTTGCAGCGCAGCGATGTCTTAGACCCACAATGCCCAAATGTGAAGCTTCATCGAGCTGTCCTGAAGACCGACCGTCACCCAATCCGAGCCGCTGAATTAGTCTCCTTGGTCAAGCAACGGTTGGACAAGAACCTGGACGAATACTATACTCTATTCGGCCAATGTGGGTCATACGGCGCACCATTCAAAGTCACATGTGCCGCATACGGCTACACAGTGGTGGGGAAGGGCACAACTTCACAGCTATGGCATGAGGTATTGCAGGAAGCAGAGATCTATCATATTTTGCAGAGCATTCAAGGCTCTGCAGTGCCAGTGTTTCTGGGGCTTCTCAATTTGGCTAAGATTTACTTCCTCCACGGTGCAGGTGAGATTCGCCATATGCTACTAATGAGCTGGGGGGGGGAAGAGTCTCCGTCACAAGGAAATCGATACCAACATGCAGCGGCACATTTTACTGTCGGAAAGAAGTATTCTATCATTGGGTATCGTGCATGACGACCTTCGCCCAGAGAATCTTTTGTGGAATGAAGAACTACAACAAGTATTGATTATCGATTTCCACCAGTGTCACTTGAATCATCAACTACTACTTCCAAAGCCGACTTCAGTAGAAAACGACACTTGAAGAGAATTCGTGGAGGCAGTGATGAGCTAAGAACCAAACGCATGTGTGTTACTCAGCAGCATGCATTAGTCAAGACCCTCTGAAATCTCCATTACAGCGAAGCTCCGACTATGCGAAAATCTTGGACATATATCTCTCACTTACCCACCAGGATTTTGATCTGAGAGCGCAACGATATTCAGCTCCACTATAGTCAAGGTTGCATCTCAGAATACGGTGCGAGACGGTTACAACCAGCAGCTAGCAGGCAAAGGCCGGATTGGAACGTTATTCTTAAAAATCAGACTGTAAACTGGAGGGATCTTTAACTGCTTGCAATTTCCAGCTTGTCACGTGGAGTGGTGCCGACTCAAACGGAGATCGAATTATATATAAGTCTCGCGATTTGTGGCACTGTTATGCTGAGCAGGGAAAGCTGTAGCTTTCTCTCTCTATTACGATGGGCTTTGAAGCGGGCGATTCATACGTGCTGCTTTGATGAGGACGCCTGAGCTCCGGCACCTTACGAGTGAGATGAGCGGAAGCTGCATAAGGGTGGTATCAGCCAGAATATGATCGCAAACAATACTTGCCTAATAAGCTCTTACACTGTATCCCAGCTTGAATCATAGAAAATTTATCTTCCTCTTGTTATCAGGTTTCTGGAAATGTGATATTGAAAGACTCGCGGACGTAATGCGCAACAGAGCCCTTCGCTTTATGAAAATAACAGTTTCCAAGTTATCGGCAAAGTACTTATCCCAATGCTGGCCAAGTGCATTTCACCACAGCCTTAGAAGTCGCTAGCGCAGGTTTTGTTGCCCTGCTTCTGTGTCTCGAATTATGTTGGGATGACTGCATTGCCTGATTTCCCTTCAATAAAACCTACCTGCTATCAGATTTAAAAGCACTGTGCTCGCACTTCTAATATATTCTGGATGATCCTTGACTTTTCTTTTCGCATGACAATATTTCGGTCATGTGTGTCTCCTTCCCAGAAACGAAAACTCCTGCCTAATGATGTGGGCCACAATGGAGATCATCTAACAATGATATTCCCAATTCATGAGTACCGATACCGATCCCAAGTCTAAAACCACAAGTTTTGTACATTTCCCCTACAAGTGATCTTCACCATACGCTATACTTGCTTCAAGAATACCATACAAACCCCTCCCTCATCTCTTTGGAAAGTATTACTGATTTTCTATGTTTTATGAGCTCCGCAAGCATGCCACAACCTGACGTAGATATCTCCCGATATACCAGTAATTGTCGGCCACGGGACAAAGAGCACCAGCTTCGAGACCAACTTTCGCCATTCAAATTTCAACCATTAGTCAGAACATATCAAGTAAGTATTTGTTGTAGTCGGAAAGAAGGGTCGTAGCAGAAATTCTTGGTATTTCTCGATTTACTAACAAGAATAAGGCTTCATGGCAATGCCAGAGCTATTTAGGAAAGAATATAGGAGGTTGATATGAGATCTCAAACAATAGAAGACAAATTAGAAAAAGAACAAGTGGAAAATCAGATCCTTCTTGACATGGGGCCTTTTTGTGGCAAGATCACAGGCTGAAGCTCTACTGCTTACTCGCACTGCGGGACGATATGTTTGTCTCTGGTGTCGGCGCCGATCTTAGGGTGAAACCTCGCCCGTAGCGTTCCTTAAATTCGGGGACCGTCTCATCCCCCGCCGCATCGCTGGCGCGTGGTAAAGTATCGGATTCTGAGATGGGCTCTTCATTTCTCGAATAAACAGTGTGGTGAGCTGTGAGGTCTCGTGATAGCTGCTGGATTGACTCGTTGCTCATATAGCCTCCTACTTGTCTGTTCCTCCAACCCAGACCCCGATTTTTTCCATGAAGAACTTTCCCATTCGCGGAAACCATAAACTGCAAAGCGTCACCAGTGCCGTGGTTTTCGATAACACTGACAGTCTCCTTGAAGTGACTATCCGCACGGGAGCAGATATCTAAGCACTGCCGAGCGGCCTCCCATTCGTCACGTAGCCGCGACAAATCTTGAGCATCTTCATCAGAAACAGTAGTTCTCGATTTCGCGAGCAGCCGATCCATGACCTCTTGCATATGCTTTTCCAACTTGACGGTTGTGGCAATTAGGCTCCTTTTACATTCTTGTAAGCCTTCATTCGTGACAGTCTCGGGCGAAATATCAGCCATCTCAGATCCGTCAGCAGGGCTTGCATTGTCGGATATCAGCTGAATTTGATCGATATGGCTTGACAACTGGGCGCAAATCTGAAGGCATTTTTCTGTACTCCGGCGCTCCTCCTGCAATGAGTGCAGTTCACTTGCATCTAGTTCAGAGAGAATTCCGTTCTTCTCAGCCAGCTGCTTTAACTTTTGATCAATATTCTCAAGTCGAGCCCCTAGGTCTTCCTTCGTATCTTGAATCAGACCCTCATAGTCCCTGATGCTTTCAACAGCAACCGTAGATTGGCGCCTGATGAGAGATTAATAAACAACAGAAGATTGTAATAGGACTAAAACTGATGGTTAATGGTAACTTACAGTGTGGCATCGGTCAAGGCAATATTGATTGTAGCTTTGTATCCTGCCAACAAGTCACGCAAATCATCAATATTGCCACCCATGTATGTCAATCTTGCCCAATCACGGAAACTTGCGCGACTACTGCTCGATCTTGACGCGCATCGGAGTAGCTCTTGCTGGAACTCCTTGCAGGCATTGCCGCATCGGAACAACGGCAAATCGAGGACTGATAGACCAACCTCAGATGTCGATTTTACTAGATCAACAAGGGGTGCCAGCACGGCGCTCAAAGCTTCCAGCTCCCCGAGAAGGTCACGGACACGCTTTGGATGCGATTGAAAACTTTTCACTGTCTCATAAAGAGAGACACTGGTTTGAAAGGCAAACGTCGCCAATGCAAGTATCCCGGAGGCAAGTCCGATCGTTTCCGCCATGGTTATCTCAGTGCAACCATAAGTTGTTACAACACCGCTTTAAAAGTGTCAAAGTTGTAAAGAATTATACTAAGACAAAACGAATTATTCTGAAAAGGAGGAATAGGCAAGAAAGGTTGTTGAATCTTCTTTTTTCCGGGCCTAGTTGGGGTTTTATAAATTAAGAGGGGTAACACTTTTCGTCAAATTGTAAGCGTTGGGCTTAACTATCTCGGGATCGTTGCTCTGTGGTGGGCGAAGATTCCAATGCGCTCAGGTGGGGCGGCGGCTGCTCAAACAAAAAGGTGGCGGGAAGCTAGGAGGGTGACTGTAAACCCAGCTGCGGCACATGGTTGGTTTGGGCCATTTGGAGTGCATGCGCAAGTTGAGTATTTTTCGCCTGTCAGCTTTAACGCCCAGACCGCTCGGACCTCTGACCTCTGATCTCCTACCCCGCGGGTCGCGCTCCGCAACAGTCCGTCGTCGCCTACTAAAGTGTCTCAACGCCCTTTGGCCTCCTTTTGACTTCCCTTTGACTTCCCTTTGACTTCCCTTTGACTTCCCTTTGACTTCCCTTTGACTTCCTTTGACTTCCTTTGACTTCCCTTTGACTTGCCGTCGACTTTACTTCGACTTTCACCCAATATTGCCATACGCCCATCGCCAAAGCCCCCAATTCCCTGCCCACTTCCGACGGCCAAACTATAGCCCTATTACTATGGGACTCACACCACATGAATTCTGTGAGAACCTAGCTCGACAGCGAACTAGTTTTAGCCACGACGAACAAATTAAATATACGGAATTTATCTCTCAGACATATTACTTTACCTATAATGCATCCCTAACAAAACAACACAGAATCGTCAGACGCCGTCTTCAAAAAATCCGGCAATTAAGTGACTATATTTGGATCCTAGTGGCTATCACTTTCACTTTTACCAGTCTTGCACATCTTTGTGATTTTGATAAGTGCTTAAAGATTATCGAGTCTTGGCTGAACAGGTATCCTCTTTCTCAAGATCAGTACGAAAGTGCCCGTGCTAGACTTCAAGCTTTGGACAACAAGAGGGAGGAAGTGATTAATGGTAAGTGATAGAGGTACGGTTAAAGCAAAGCTAACATTATGTAGATGGACAAAAGTTGGGGAAGAAAGTTCCCCGGAGGAATGTGCCAAAAAGGAATTGTATATGACTCCAATTTTTTTAATCTTTATCTGCTAATATTCTCAGTATTTCCGATACAAATAAAAAGCATCGATATATCAAGTCCTATTTACAGTCCACAGCAAGGCAAGTCTGACCACATGAAGATAGGGTTATAAGCTAATAGATTTTCTTAGCCCCAATATCAACAGATATCAACCCGGGAGATAGCGAAAGCGCGAAAGGCATTCAAGATTTTCTCTCATCTATAGAGCGTGAGAGCTTAGATCCAGGAGATAGAGTGATTTACATTTCATCCGAAGACCAGCTACACGATAAGCTGGAAGGCCTATTCTTGAAACCACTGTTTTGGCGATCATATACCAACCAGCACCCTATCCCTGGTGATATGCCTACTTCTATAACCGACTTTATCGCGTCTCTCACCAAGATCAACGTCCAACAACTAGAGGCCATCGACTACGCTAAAGATGCGGCCACGCCCAAAGAAGTACCAATCGCTGAAGTGGCTAAATATTTCCAGTCACCGCCAATGAGTCGCTCGGCGTTGAACTTCCTTGATATGGAGAATTTATATCTTCCTTGTGTTCCGGCACCTGTACGCCAATCAGATCTGCTTCGAACGGCATATTTACGCAAGCGGGGATCAGTGTCCAAGTCTCTGAGAAGTTATGATACAGTTCCTCCGGATCGAGAGTTTCTTCTCTTATCCGGCCGTAACTCCGTATCACCAATTCATCTTGATACTGCCGGGCATTTAACCTGGATTATCGGAATTTCCGGCCGCAAGATCTGGTACGTGCCTAGTGATCTTACCTCGGCGGCCAACAGACTCGCAACAGGTGGGAGTCAATTTCCAGAACATTATGAGGACGGATGGAGACGTATAATCATTGAACCTGGTGATCTATTGTAAGTTAACGATAAGATTCAACCTTTTGCTTGTGGATTTGAGCTGAATCGCGAAGGGTTATGCCACCAGGTTGCCCACATGCTGTGTTTACCCCAGAGGATTCATTTACCGTTGGAGGTCACTTCTATACACGTTCACATCTTAGCACAACAATCTCCACTACCGCTCTTCAAGCCCGTTATGGGAGCACTTTCTGCAATGAGAGCTTATCCTTGCAGGATTACCTAAATATCACACTGATCTTCGAACAGTGTAAGGACTTATTTTCCAGTGCAGACATGGCACGGTTGGTAGCAAGCAAAGTGTATTGGGAGTGCGCCAATCAACTCAATGCTCATGCAGAATCAATGTCCAGGTATGATGCTGAGCATTCCACGGCGAGGCCCGGAGGTGAATCTCTTGCCAAGGGTAGCAAGGGTGGCAGTAAAAAAAGAGGTAAAACTGCTACCAAGAATGCTCCGACCAACAGGGAAGATACTACTAGAAGAGACGTACACATCGCATGGCTTCGGATCCTAGATTTCATGCAGCGGGCAAGTACAGAGCTTCAGATACATTTAATCCAGGGAGATACTTGATAACAAGATTTAAGTACCACTTGTCACTTTCATAGCAACAATGCAGGCAGTATTCATCAGGACGCTGTTATATTCCATATCTCGAGTGACCGACACAGAAAGTCCCAATCTACTTAGGCGTCGTAGGGGTGCATAGGTAAGCCTTTTTATCCTACCCTCAATAATTAACAAGCTGCTACCCCTTTGGCGACAAGCACTTGCTAGACTCATAACCAGGGATTCTATGATTTCTTGGTTATATGCAGTGTAAAGTTCGGCTGCAGTGTCTAATAGAAGGCAAAGTTCTCTCATAAAGGCGGAGCTTGTCAAACCAAAGAAATAGAACAATAGCGATAGCATAGTCAAGCTAGTTATCTTTCTGGGGGGAGAATGTTACTATTGGATTGAAAGTTGCGAAAGTTGCGCATGAGCCTTTCCCAATTGTTGGTATAGAGTATTCAGCAAAGTAGAGATTGACGTTTGCTGAATGTGATGGTAGACGGGTGCAAACCAGTATTCTAATAGGCTTTGAGTCCCAATATTCTCCACTACCTTGTCTCTGAGGGTGTTGAGCTTGGCTGGTACTCCGAATCCAGGAGGTCTAAGCAACTCTCTACAGAAGCATGATATCTGACGGATTCCTTCAACGCAGAGATCTGTTCATCATTACCAAACATCAAAGTGCGTATTAGCTGCTTCAAGATTTCCTGATATCTCTGAGCAGACTGCTCTGCATAGATGAGAGCTGACTTCCTACGTCTATCTCTAGACGACTCGAAGGTGCAGGCTGTTCCGGTTTCGGTGCAGGCTTGACAAGGCGATGAGCCGACGCACTAGATATAATCGGCGGTCAGTAGCGTTGGATCGACTGCAGCTGAGATATCTTACCTTGACACGTTTCTCACGACACTTTAGACAGGCTGAGGATCGACGAGTCTGTGTGGAACCAGAACCCTTTGCACTCAGGATTCGAGATGGCGGTGTAGCAGCAGGGAGTAAAGCCCGAAATGCTGGGGTCTTAGCCATTTTTTGGTAACTCGTGGGTCATGTTAATATCTAGAGTTTTATTGGAAAGAGAATATCTATACTCACCACCCGGTAGAAGCGACTTGTGTGCCCACGATACAACAAATTATCAACGAACAAAGGTGAATAATCATCTCTTTTCAATAAAGATAGATGCGAAATGACCTCTTATATCTCCAAACCTCATTTTGACGAGGGGTACTTTTCGAGATGTGCTTGTCATCATGTTTGTCGTAGCAAACAAAGAAATGCATGATCCTGGTTGAGTTTCACAGAATTTGGGTGGGTAATTTCAGACCCGGTCGAGCATCGTCACATTTAGTCTTGTATTCTTCATAAGTAGGACAAATATTTATTTGAGGACTGACATTCAATAGCTGAGACACTTTCCCCCTGTTGTATTTACATATAAGCCTGCAAAAGACCACTTTGCCGGAAGGATCTGTACGTGATAGTACTGTATCTAACTCTTTTATCTTATACCTTTCCTTAGGAATTGAAGGTTTTTTATGCGTAGTGCTGCGAACAAACATCAAACAAGTTTCCGGCAGCTAGCGCCAAAAAGTTTGATGTCCGTTGTCAACATGGGCTTTGATAGCAAGCGGACTCGGATGACTTGGGATTTTTTTCGGTGCTCGTTTAAGCGATACTCAGCTTACAAGTGCCCGAAATACGCGGGTGCTGATCGTATCCGTTAGTGGTGAGCGAATTATGCAGGTGGCCGATGAGTTGGATTCGTGATACAATATCTTGCCGATACTGTTGGTCACTGGCAGATGCTTGTAACGTCCAAGCAAATAGAAGCACAGCAAAGATATGTCATTGGAATCTACAAGATTCTTAATGGTTCTGGGGTTTTACTCGATGTATCAGCTAAGAAAGCCCCTTTTTGGGGCACTCGCAAGCTCTACTCCCTCATGGCCACAGTTCGGTGCTGCGGAGGGTCAAGCGTGAGGTTAACCTCAGCAATGTTGGATTGTTTGTTGCATTACAGTGATCGGTGGAACTGTGACAGGTTGTAGAAGATAGCAGATCCTAATTTAGCCTAGCGAAGGAAACCAGATCCATCATGAACAGGTCAATCTACAAACTGTAGGGGCTATCCCGGTTTCCCTCGAGGTGCAGGTATCTGCTTCAATTTGTATCGGTCGCATAGACTTCCAGGGGATCAAATTTGCATGCACTAATTTCTTTATCGCTTGGCGGACAACCAATAAACAATGGGAAGTCCAAGCGGGGCTCTCCATTAATACATAGTTCTGGGAGCTTCAGCTGATCTACTGAAGCACATAGCATGCTTCTGGCCTTCCCGACCGCCCGCATTTATCCACTTCCAGATTCGAGCGTTTGAGAATCCAATTTAAGTTAGTCGAAAAAGCTCAAGGTAGTCTGGAGATTCGATCGCAGTCGGAACATTGCTCGTTAACTACAACCAGCAGCCGCGGCCATTTGAGAAGCACTAAGCTACTGCTGATCAACATATCGTGGATAGTATCAAGAATTGATTGAGCTAAATGTGTCGCCATTTTTTAAGTAACTTATTGACAAGCTGAAAGGAAGTGTGAGCCAAGCAGAAAACAGGAGATATTCTACATAGGAAGAAGCTCGCAACGACTGGCGTGAAAAGGTGATAATGGTAACGGCACCGGTTCTGAAGCCAATTGCTCACAGCGCAATCTAACTAAGCGCCGCTTTGTAAAAGCTAGCCGTCTGGAATCGAAATATGGCTAATACTTTATTATCTGTCCACAATATTCGTGTAATATTTCTAACTTACTTCATCCCTATGACCAACAAACTTCTCTCTCCAGAGTTAGACCATATTTGCTGAGAAGATACATGACTATAACATAGACCTTATTGAGGAACAGTCCTAGATTGTATAGAACCCTTGCCATGACACCTTGTGAAGGCTAGAGACCTGATCAGCACTAGGAAGCTCAAATCTAGGTATTAAAGGTTGGGTGTTTTGCACAAGATCTTCTAGAATGATAGCCGAGGAGGCAAATTGTGGAGTATTATAGTATGATGGTGCCAGGAAATTAGTTGAAGATGAATGATCGTAGGGTGTGTTTTGAAAGCTCGTTCTTTCAAGGTCAGAAATATGTTGAATCAATAGGTCATTCTGTGGCATCATTATAGGTTGATCTGAAGATATCTTGGTGGAAGATGTGAGCCCTAAGCAGTCATCTCAGCGGGTCAGTAAGCAAAATAGAGCAAGAAAACTGGATGATGATTTTATTCTGTAAAAGCGCTTTCAAATGTTTTGACTTACAGCAATGCCCGCTATTGCTTATCTCTGTAGCGGTGTTCAGGGCAAATGCAGGGAGCAAACCCGAGTTGGACTCAGAAACAATCTTGAATGGCTGCTCTCCTCCGACGCCCTTTGAATTCCTTTTTATCTTCGTTGGAGAAAATCTGTAATCGGGGTGCGCTTTCAAATGATTATGCTTCTCAATTTCCGCTAAATGCTCGTACTTCTGGCGAACTTCTCGTGGCTCTAATTTCCAGCTCTTGCCAGATATTTCGGATACAAGTCGATGGTCATTTTGCGCGAGCCACTGCTTTGTCCTTTCCGCATATGCAGATCGATAGAGCATGAAAGAATTCATCGGGCGGGTGACTCTACCTTTTCTCCTCTGAACTTCCTGAATGCGAGTCTCCGAGGATCGATGAACCCAGGATTCAATATCTTTGATAGAGATTCTTGCCATGTTCTTGGTTAAAACGCTTAAAGGCTGAATTATACAAGGCATGGGCTTTTCTTTCTTCGGATCACGATTCTTAGACCGCATTTCAGCGAGACCGAAGACTGTTGGGATAGGATCACTTAGAAGCCGGGTAGTACTATTGCTGATACCGATTTTAGTCTCGTAGAAGCTAGAGAGAAAAATAATTTGCCGTAGATGTGGTTATAATATCCGCGTTGTGGTTCGTTAGCAGGCTAGGGTAATTGGCGGTGAGTAAATATTTATTGGATAGTCGATAGGTGATAGGGTAAGAATGAAAGTCGGTCGCAGATCATTGAAGACACGAATTGTGAAAGAACTCTAAAGAAATAGAAAGGCTTCGTCGGCGCTTGCTTAGGGGTTAAATTGAAGTGGTTACTGCCTGCGCCGGTTGCATGACATGTATGCTACGTAGCAGGTCCCTTACGCGTGAGCTCCCCACGGCAGGTTTTACCAACCAATGACAGCAGCGCTCACGTCCCAATTCGCGCTAGTCTCCGTACCAAGAAGACCTTGATGATCTTAAATCTTCCCTGCATTTGGTAATATCCTTTGCTCGTGCTTGACAAACCCACATTTGGTGACGTTTCCAATAAGTACCCAGCATCATTGCGAAACAGTATGCGACGGCATAAGGAAGGCAATGATACTTTTCTCTCGGTATATGGAATAGCAGAATGTGAAAACTGGGACACAGCCGTATCTGCTGTACGGATAGCATAGCTTAAGTCGACGGCGGCGTACGGCGGGAGATCAACGTACTGACCAATCAAACCAAGGTTTGAAGTAGCTCTCGGTTTCGTGCAAGGGCGGTCACCTGATTACCGTGTTAAATATGCTGCACTCACTCGTGGCATGACACAGGGCTTGGTAATAGTACGATGTTAATAGTACGATGCAATGCAGGTTCATGAGTCAGGCCAAGGTGCCTACTTACTTCGGTCAGTATTTCAGATCCCGAGCAATGTAACATTGACTCGGACACAGAATTTGCATGGATCACCAAAGGTTCTGTGCTTGTTTCCGGAGCGGGGAACAGTGATTTTCTTACTCAGGTAAGAAGGCTGAAACTTCAGTTTACATAAAACCACGATATTATCCTGATTACTGCATACTAAATATTCCGAATCTGGTATGTGCACCCTCTTCTATAAATGTCCAGCTTATGTCTGGGTAAGGGGGCCAAGCTCCGCTCTCTGATCATAAAATATTTGATCTTTACTACATTACTATATTAACTGACCAATTCAAGGGAAGGTGATTGTTGATGTTTTGAGAGGCTTCGAAGCGATGTTTTATTTTATCTTCCCTGTTGTCAGGCTGAGGGAATAGGATTATGAGCTTATTTAGACCTAAAGTAGATGTTTTCGAGTCAGTTTCATGGCTTGACATCTTAGCATACTATTTCACACCAATTGTTGTTGCTGGAAAGAAATCAAGTGGATATTGAAGTTCCTATGGGTGAGAGTGACTGTCGCGCGACCGTGGTGATCGCTCATGCTTCCTTAAAGCGCGCACTTACCCTAACTCCCTGGTTGCGCGGCCGTAAAGAGGCCTCACCCGCTAGCCCACCCTTACGGTACCCACCCACCTTCTGGCCGCGTTCAAGCCGCACCCCCTACTTGCTCACATTTTATCAGCTTAGCATTGTTGTGGAAACAGGTGATAGCCACTTTGCGTTCGCGCCACCCAGAGGCCCGTAAATTGTGATGGAGACCTGGCTAAGGAACGTAGTTGGAAGAGGAAATCGAGCGCAAAGGTTCAAAATTTAAGGTTGGGCTGGGGCAATCATCAGGGGTCCTGAATCGCAATTACCCCTGAAAGCCTGTGTAGCCGGACTAGAGCGGGGCCAAAGCATGAGGTCTAACTAAAAAGGTATTTAGAATCTTGGATCCATTATGAAGGACCTGAAGTCATTCACACATGCCTAAAATTCAATAGAAGATAGGCAGGATATATACGGGCTGAAGCACATGCTGGTCAATCTCTCTAGCGAGAATGGCGAGAACTAACGAGTTTTGTACGGAAGATGGCCAGCATTTCTTGACGCGACATACAAAATAAGATCTCTATTATAAGCAGGCACCATGGAACATCGAGCGCGCAAAAGCAAGCTGTTGATGGGAAACGGGGAGGGAAAACATTTCAACGAGCACAGCTCCAATCTATAGAGAAACAACAAGCACGCTGATGCTACCCAAGGAATAATGGCGGCCTCTAGAGCTGGTCATATAGAGTCGGATCAAGGCAGATTTGTCTATAACAGCTTTTTGAACAAGAACAGAGCCTTCACCCGTCGTTGTGAGTGGCAGGTAATTCGATAATGATATCCTGCCGTTGTAGGTTGCCGCGAAATTCGAGAATTCACGGCAGAACTTCCAGTGGCGACTTATGAGGAATCGTTCATCACGCTATGATCCTATCTGTCCGACTCTCAAACAGGTGTCGATTGTTTGTTGGCCCCACTACCAGAGGCTTGGCATGAGTTGCTTATTCAGCTGTTTCTTTGTTAACTAATTCCCTGTAGTTACCGTACTCTGAGAAAGTAGATACGAGGCTTCCTCCAAACACGAGGCTATGATAAGTCGAAGCATTATGAGGATCTTCAAGGTGAGCAAATTGGCAGACAACTGACCATGGAAGGACGTAAAGAAAGATGGAATGAGTCTCTACACTATCTATGCGAGCCGAATCTCGACGTCGAGAGTGGCATTGAGGGTCGTCGGACCGCGATCGAGAGAGTGTTTGTCTCTTCCTAATGAGCTTCTAGTCGGCCGTCGAGATCAAGCCAGGCGGACTGCTGCTCGATCACAGCTATCAATCTGGGAAATCAGTTTCGGCTATGCACGATCCCAGGTTCAACCGGGCGAGTTGCGGCAGAAACTTCCAGGATCCGATTACATCAGCCCGGAGTCTAAGTTACGTCATTTGAGTATCAGTCATCGACTCCTGTCAAATCGCCTGCCTCCCTCGGCCGCCCACTCACTCATTCCACTCGCTGTGCCCATTCTTCGGAGCCTGATAATGATTTATCTCCTGCTGCACAACGAAAGCGATGTTACAGTCTGACCTCGTCCTCGCCGGACCGCGTCCTCGCCGCCCCGCCCCGCATTCTACGCCGACCGCCGCAGAGAATCCCTTTCAACGCCATGCCGGTCAATTTCGCCTACACAATTATGAGATCTGCACACAGAAATGTCCGTTGAGCTTACAACGCGGCGATATATTGGATTCACAATGCCCGAATGTAAAGGTCCGCGAGTTGCCCTGAAGACCGACCGCTATCTAATTCGGGCCGCTGAATTGGTCTCTTTGGTCAAGTAACAGTTGGACGAGAACCTGGACGAGTGCTGTGAACCACTCGAGCAATCTGGATTACACGGCGCACTATTTAAAGTGAACTGTTCCACATACAGCTATATGGTGATAGGAAAGGGCACAACTCTACGGCTATGGCACGAGGCATTGCGGAAAACATAAGTCTATCCATTTTACAGAGCATTCAGGGCTCTGCGATGCCAGTGTTTCTGGGAGCCATCAATTTATCTAAGATCTACTTGCATGGCGCGGGTTGGATTCGACATACGCTACTGATAACACAAAAATCGACACAAACATGCAGCGGGAAATTGTACGGTCGAAAAAGAGTCTTCTTTCTTAGGGTGTTGTGCATGACGACCTTTGCCCTGAGAATGATGTGGAGTAAAGAGCTGCAACGAGCCTTGATAATTGATTCTCACCAGTTTCACTCGAACCATCGACTGCTACTTCCAAAACCTACACCAAGCAGAAAAGGACACTTAAAGAGAATGTATGTAGGCAGTGATGAGCTTAGGACCAAACGGATGCGTGTCAGTTGACAGCATGCAACGGCCTTCTATCTTCGAGGCCTCTCATTGGTAGACAATGCTCCACCTCGAAATCCTCGTCACAGTGTAGCTTCGACCATGCGAAAAGCTTGGACGTGACACTTGCCCACTGGGATTCTGGTCTGAGAGCGGCGATTTAGCATTCCCAACCACCAATACGGAAGACGGCTCTTCAACATACGAAAACGATACGATCGACCAGCAAGCAAGCAAGAGCCGGGTCTAGAGTATTCCTGAGCTCTTGCCTTTTCGTCACCTGAAGTCGGTGACTAGAAATCAATACCAACGATCGCGTCTCGGCAACATCTCGCCAACGCGCTGCAGGTGCCAAATATTCGGCAGCCATTGTTGCTGTGAGGTCCTTCTACTCAAGTACGAGCTGACGTCGGCTGCATTTACGGAGCAATACCTGCGCAGATCTCTGCTGCACCGCTAGTTCTTCGTTTCAGGAGATCGGTAAATCACTCATTATGCTTGCTGAAAAAGATATACGCAAACTATTGGAATGACTAGAAGGGCGGAAATCCATGGCTCTGACTAAAGATTGATGGATGGCCTTGGACTGGACCAGGGAACTTGGTAAGTATCGCACCAGGTGTGTTCTAACATCCGCCGATCATTGGTTTTGTTACGTCGAACATCAAGGAGCATGACATCAAAAAGTCGAAATGTTGTACCGGGCGGCTGTGGATACAGTACACTTTTGGTAAGTAGCAAGCTGGCACGGTTTTCGGCTATGCGACAAGTGCAACACTTCGCCAGACGAATCTGGTGTACTAAGGAGGGCCGTTGCACCAGCATAGCTAAGCCTCAACTTTATGAGATGTTGAGCATGTACTTTTTTTTTGGTAGCCAAGCGTATCGCTCATTATAATGGAACGTGTGCAATCATCAAATCAACATCTATTACGTCAAGAAACGCTGTAATCGCTGAATTTTACACTTCTTACCTCTCCAGGTTCGGGTGCAGTTGAAATCTACATCCGTTTGCACATGTTAACTATGCCTCAATGTTATGGTCCACATTTCAATGCAAGCTGGCGCAGCCGCGCACGCATTTGCCGGCTGGTCTCTATAATATCTATTCGAGAAGCGCTGGCACCACTAGCCAGATTTAAGCGAGGATAACCAAATGAAGAAGTGGCACTGGAAGCGTGATGAGTCTCTGTCCAGCGGTATTTGTAGGGTTTCTACTGCCTTTTTTAAAGTGTGCATGGAGGACTCGCGTTCTGAATATGCACAGAGACGACTTCGCTGTGAGGTATACGGAGATCAACAGAGCCATTCATTTGCCCAGCTACCACAGGATTGATTTAGTTACGGAGTACCCTGCGTTACCGGCTGTGCTATTTATTGTATGACTATGATTGTTATACAGTATGGCCCGTGAATTTATTATCACGGCAACAGCCGTAACGCGGTACTGTTACCGTCCAGTCCCTATCTGGCTTACCTTAGTTCCACAGTAATCACTAAAGCGATAATACAGAATGAGTGGTGACAGCGGTTCCTAGATTGCTACATTGACAACACTTCCCGTCAAGAATCTATTTCTTGAACAAATTGCAAGAAGAGTTATTGCATGCCATGATATACAAAGTTGACAATATGAAGCTTTTGTAGCACGGAGTCAGTATTTTGGTAAATAGAATCGAATCGAAAATCATAACACAAAGCCTCATGTTTTCACTCCACGACAGTCCTTGGGAAGGTCTGGGCGTCTGCACGGGTTGCTTCTAGCGCTTTCAAATACAAGTCTGCAATCCTTGCACACGCTTCCCAGATGCGTCGACGATTAGCTACAGCCATAAGGCCCAAATCCTCCATTCCATATACTTCAGAAGTCACCTTACAGTATCGAGCCAAAGGCATAACTTCTTGTAATCAAGACAACTAGACAAAAGGGTTTGGGCTACCTTCCTGCAGTTCCCAGAACCAGGGCATATTGCATTTCATAAACTTCTTCCAAAAGTAGTTACTTTGCGCTGCGAGATGGACACGTTTCGAAACTCGCATCAGGGATCCAAGGTCACCAGTTGAGAGACACATACAGATATTGTAAGTTATCTCAAGTGGGAGTAGTTTATGCTTCCTTGTCGATCATCATTAACGAGCGGGAACAAATACCCTAACAAAAGGGTATAATCTATAGGAGCTTGGAAGTTACTACTTTGTTCACTCATTCATGAAAGAGCTTTCCCTCGTGTTGTAAAAGGCTATTTCTTGTGACATGTTGACGTCATTGAAAGTCAAAGAGTAATAGAAATACGACACTCGATACTGATAACCTGGATCAAACCCATATTATACTTTATTGGCAGTCACCATTTCCAACTCTGCGATTCAGCAGGTCCACGATCAGCGATACATTCCCCTGCACGGGCCCATTCGGGCCTAATACTGCGCCACTAATGACGAGTTTCAGCATTCCAAAAACCAAGCAGCTCCGGGTCGCAGTATCTTTCCTCGACTTTCTGAGACGGCATATGATTGTGACAGATGGCAATATATATTTCTTTCTGGTTTGTCGCTCAGAATTTGGTTAAAATTATCTTCCAAGTGGTATAGCCACATTTTGGTTTGCATTTCCGTTAACCTCTCATTCACGCGCGGAATACTAAGTCGCAGAAAATGAAGCAAATTCATAACGAGTTTCTACCCTAAGCCAGGCACTGCTTATACCGAATGACAAATGTAAAACTTCAATTTCCAGGCTGGTAGCCCTTGAATTTGTAAACGCGGTCGGAATTTATGCGGAGGACCATCGCCAACCTTTTGACTCGATTTGACATATACACCGAAGTAGATGCATCAGAGCTGGTGGTGCGAATCTGAGTTAAACCATTCAAGACTAATTATGTCTTGGTCGTCTACTTCAACGGTCTAAAATCAAATTACAAATTTATTTGTGGATTCTCTTCCGTGGATAATCAATCCAGCACGATCAAGGGCAGAGGCGGTTGCTTACCCGATTAAAATCTGTCACTATGAATGGCAGCTGTTCCCTGGTCAAGGTCGGCCAGTATAAGCCAGAAAGACTCTTCTTTGGCACCTTGACTACCAACCAACCACCGTCAAACTCATACGAGGGTTGCATATGATTGATCTCATCGTAAAGTTCGAATGAACATGCACATTTCTCACCATTGAGGGAGAAGGATGTCGGCGTAAGAGTGATGTCTGAAGGTAATATTTTGTCTCCCTGAAGTACCATGGTAATGCAATTCTGATTGTGATCCTGATTGTGGGCAGTTTGCGACCACAAAACTGATAAAATTAGCTACTCGTGTCTTACTCCATGTTTGCAAATGGCGACAAAACAAAGGCTGAAATGCGAAAATGTGAAATTTGTTTGTGGAAGGCAAATTTATATGCAGGCAAACTGACTTCTTGGGAGCGTTGACATTATGACAGGCAATAGTTGCATATATTGATGTCCAAAGTTTTTTCCGGCGTCAGGCTCCTGGGCTCGGCAAGCTTTGTTGGAAAGGAAAGTTGCTCCTTATCTATTGCATTAGTTTCGATCAGATGATCTCTGTTCAATCATTATTTATAGGTAAATTTCACATTCAGTACCAGTTTCATATGTCGTGGCGACTGCGGACTTAGTCTTGAATAACTTTTGATTCGGCCCTTACACTCTCAAACTTGAAATCCCTCCAAAGTGGAACCCTTACTAATGAGACTGTGGAAGAAGAGGTACGCAAGATTCGAAATCGAAATAAGATTGAAGCCGTTCGAGGCCGGCTCCCCGCCTGATTCAAACCCCCTTTACACTTACTGGATCTGAAAGATAAGTAAAATTAGAAATAATTAATTTAGATTGAGAATGGCAACTGATGGGCTTAATCTGGAGTCGATCCACCAAATAATCCCACAAGAAATTCTCTCACGGCCTTTGAGAAATATCTGAATCGTTGAGCCTTGATGTTTAACGCGTTTTTGATCTGTAAGATACTACCCATCCTGGCCCTTTTCAGATGATAGAACGTGTGGCAACAGACAAGACAGCGAGCATCCTCGTTGCAAATCCATGTATCAATACATGGGAGATGGAACATGTGTCCGCAGGGAAGAAGGCGGAAAAAAGAGGCAGGGCTGAGCGATTCCTAGCATATTGAACATTCATCTGGAAGTTGACCAGGATCTTGAAGGAAGTCAAAGCTAGAGATTTTTTGAACATGAAAATGTGAGGGGCATACCAGTCAGGACGTCCTGTAATCCAAAATAACAGGGCATTCCAGATGTATAGAGCTCCCGGGCTGTTAAAGCCAAACCATCCCTTAGACATGTGATATGCAAATAAGCTTGATGGAGATCTGGGGAGCGTTATTTATTTCTGCAGCTAATTATAAAAACCAAAAGAAATGAGCATTAGAACATATGACTGAACTTGAAGTGACATCAGACTTCGTTCTCCTTGGCTAAAGTCCTGCCACGGGATTTGGTTTGGTGCATTTGGATACATTGGTCAGCAGTTGAGATCTTGTTATTTCTCGAACCGCTTCGTATTCATGGGTGGGACTTCGTATAAGAAAGCGAAGAGTTCATGAAAGAAGCATGCAACAACAGGAACCGAGGAAAACTAGAAGTTGAATTCGCTCATGATTTGCGGGAGCACGATATGAGCGGTTAGCCTTGAAACCAGACTTCTCACCGTGCGGACAAGATTCCATCTTATTCAATCGAAATCTAGAACAGACCTAAAGTCCTAAAGTACGCAGAAGAGAAATTTAAGGACCATTTGATTTGACGAGACCCGGAGCCCAAATCGAAGAATCGTGAAATTCGTGCAGAATGCCTTGCTTAGGAAAGCCTGTAGAAACATAAAGACATCAGCCAACAGCTCCCTTTTGAAACCTTACCTATTGTGGCATTCATTGGGAAAGAAGCACTCGGAGCAGGAACAGCAAGATTGGAGTATTTGAAACTTTCATGTGATTGAGTCGTGAGTATTCTGTATGCTCATATTGGGCATTCAACCTCGTAGTCTCTGCAACTGACATTGGACTGGTAGACGTGCTTGAGCTGCAGGAGCGCTACGAGTTCGCCTGCAATATCTGCCGCAGTATAAATACTCAGATGGTTCCCGGTTGCTTGGTCTCGCGATTATTTTCGTGCTCAGCACCGCGTACGATAATTTCCCCGGTGTCACGGTTGAGAAGCAGTTGATATCGGAGCTTTTCGCATATATCGGGCGCCAATGTTTCAGCTGCGCGCCTATTTCGAGGTATGCCAAAAACCGCGTTGATTGTCGCGGAACCGGCAACGATATCCAAACATCTGCATAATAACTAGATTAAATCACTTTTCGAGTAGACGGATTTCGGTAGTTATTTCCTATCTCGGAGGCTTTTTGCATTTTGACACAAGAGGTTTCTATTCCCTAGCTGTATCCGATCTCAAAGACGAGACGAGCTGTAGTGATCAGAAAAACGGGAAGACAATGTCCGAATTATGCCCATCGAAGAAGATAACGATCAACATTAATTGTGAGTTGTAGGGCTTGAAAATTTCAATCAGAATCATTGCTGGTGCTACTGATCACGGTGCTAGCTGAACTTCTCCTAACGACTGAGAACCTACCCCAACAAAGAAAATATTGGTTGGAGATAGTGCTTGTTTTAAAGAGGCGTGATACCTTGATTTTACCTATAGCTTTTGTGTGACAGAAAACACATGATCATTTATAGATTTTTATTTTTAAGCCCGTTCGCTATTCAAAGAGAACAATTTGATCAAAATGCAAAGCAACATGAAAAGCACCCGCGGATGAACTTGAACCTAATAGAGATTGAGCGATAGAGCATATTTCGATTGATGTAAAAACAAACTCACGACGATTTTACTTAGTGAATGTATACTGTGCGAGCCCTAGTTCATCGAACTATTCTTACAGCATACGCTTTGTCTTGACTTGGGCAATTTATTCGATCGAGGTTTCCGGAATTTGCTGCCGACCAATCCTGTGCGATAGTAGCGCTGTGAATGTCGTCATTTCTCACCCATCATTGACAATATGGGGGCGTATCTGGATGCAACCACTGTACTATATGTTGCCCACAAATTCTGATTGAAGTAAGCAATATTCCTAGATTGCGAGAAAACCATGATATTCTAGCCTCTGAGTCTCAAAACACCATATTTGGTTGATCAGATGTTCGTTTACCTTATCCAGAGCCGGCAATTTCCCTCGCGAAGTAAGCAATAAAGACCACCACTAATATTTTCAATTGTGAGTGTCAATCTAATTTTATGTTATTTATTGTCTCAAGTTTTGACAATCAGTGAGTTTACTGTCTCTTCTCTCCTCTAACCAAGCAGCTTCTCACATAGATGAGGACTTATCTATCATGTCACCTAACTCCGAATCTTGCGATGCAACCTTGCCACCCTCAAGTGAATATGAGGCTGACTTGACATACTCATCTCTTTGGGGTATTCATGGCACTATCTTGCTCGATCCCAGTAATAAATCAGCAAAAGCAAAGCAAACATCCTCCACTGCTGAAAATTCTTTTGCAGTAGCCACACATGAGCATGCGCAAACGCAGCAACAAGAGCCAACAGCTTTGGACAGCGCATTTCTGCAGTGGATCTCGCTTAACCCCACCCCGCCATTGTCGCCATCAACACAAGACTACATGAAGTCTGGTCACCGTGATCTTTTATTATATCCATTAAGCCTTCTTCACTCTCCAAATTCTGAAATAATCTCTCGTGATAGGGTCAAAGACATCGATGAAAGCTCCGACTGCTTTTTGGAATTCAAAGGGCATGTGTTGTACAAACGAGACACTAAAGTTCTAAACCAGCAAAACCGAAGGCTTAGACTAGACAGGAATCGGATTGCAGCAAAAAAGTCGCGCAAAAAGAAGAAAGAGTTTACGCAACACTTAGTGGATCAATTAAAGGGGCTGATTCAGACACAATCCCAGTTGAGAAAGGAGCTAGGGTCTCTTCGTCATGAAATTTTGGATTTGGAAGAGGAAACGCTCAGGCACGCACAGTGTGGCGATGAAATTCTCCAGGGTCAATCGGCCAAACTGGCAGATCACCTATCAAAATTCAGTTCTAGTCAACAAGTCCCAGATATTGGAATTTTGTAGCGCATCACTCGAGGTGTGAAAGATAGCTGAAGGAATTAAATCTTGGAAAAACGACTATATGAGTTACTAAGTCGTGAGATTCCCGGCTGATTTGACCAATACCACTTCCGGGCGCGAGCATTTTTAAAGCATCAGCAGTAAACATGAATTCGCTTAACATCAAACGACTTTAACACCTCAATTGAAGCTGATAGAAACACTTCATCAGTTTCTACGTCTTGCCTTACTTCATGGACCCCATCCCCCAGAAGTCGTAGCCAGAGCTGAGCGGAACTGTCGCCGCCTCGCTCTGGAGCCAATAACACCGCGCGCCCCATTCAACGATTTCAAAGCCCGTGGAACCAAAGGAGTGGTTACAAGAGATTAATTTAAATTGCCGCAATTTTGCTCACGAGGCGTGTAACAACAAAGGCTAACTTTTTCTTGCTCATGTCGATATCAGTCATGGCAAGCTGGATGGGTAGTCTCCCTGAATCAGCAATAGGCTCCTAGGATACAAGCCATCATTTAACTTATTTGCTGCCAAAAACCCTTCTGATAGCACATTCAAACAAACTAATGCTTTACTCATTTTCCCATAAAATTTAACATTTCATCATAGCATACAACAACCAGTCAGACGTTTAAAGAGTTTCAAGTCTTCATTTCACCTCTTAGTCTCACACGGAAAACCGATTTGATTACACGCTGCGTACAAAAGATAAGATTAACCTAACAGGCATATCTTGTTTTGCATTGCGCTTGTTTGAATTCGATGAAGTTCCGACCGAAACAGTATTGCTTAAAAGCCAATCAACCTTTATCCTTCTCGAATCTCTGCTCAAAATCCTTATTGTGCAATCTGACCTCCTCTTTGTTTTGCTTGACGTCCAATTCTCCACTTTCTGTATTGGGTCCTTCACGATGGTTTTTCAGACTGTAATATTTCGAGGATCCTTGGTGTTTTTTAGACTTCGTGGCTCTCTTATCTAATGGGCTTGGTTCGTGATCTTGCGGAAACACAATGTCTTAAATCAGCGTGTCTACTGACAAGTCTTCATTCGAGTCTCCTTTATGCGACTTCTGTGTTGGTACCAACCATTTTGTGGAACCTCAGCATTCTTTGTCTTATTGACTCGCTCATCTTTCGTCAGTTTCTCGGTGTTATTGCTCAAATTTCTGGTGGCTCTGGAGCGAATGGAGGAGAGACAAGTGTGCCGCAGCGATATTATTGCGCCCGGGCGATAAATAGCAGACATGATGTTTGTTTGAAAAATATATATGACTCCACAATTATCAGGGTTATAAGTTAACTTTATAAGTGTGTCTAATAGGCATCATAGAAAAATTATCTAATCACGGGGTGAGGCGACTAATTTTCACTTTCAAGTACCTAGAGTGGTGGCGACAAATTACATCAGAGTTTCTGATGATTCGTTTGGTTTCCTAGATGACAGCTATCCGAAGTTTCCGTTGGTCATTACTTAGTCCTTTTCGACTTCCAAGCAGGGATTATTTGCCACTATCCCAAATAGAAGAGCAATCTCGCAAAAGTCCAGTTCGAGAACGAGCATATTAAATCGATAATTAAGGTTTATTATGACGGACGATGTGGGAGATCTACAAATAAGACCTAGTTGATTCTTTCCAGATGGTGACTCATTTACTAGTTCATGGAATGGCTGTTGTTGTTGTAACTGTAAAGAAAAGCTAATCACAAGATTCTCATTCGAGGTTCGTGGTTCCGCGGCTTGACAAAAGTAGCAGCTAAAAGGACTAGTCTTCCCCAGCACACAGTCAAACCAAACCTTTTATCGAGTTGTTTCATCCTGAATCATTGATATTGAGAGGCGGGCAATCAATCGCTTGAGTTAAGCATAGAACTAAAAATGATACAGGGCCACGAAATAGTGTCGCAAGTGCGAAGCAGCCTGTTAAATTCATTGGTCAATTTCCTGCCAATGACTCACTCACCTTTAAATGACTAATAGTCATAGACACTTTCTGGATGCGAGTTAATTTACCCCGTGAATTGCAGATCATGGGATGTGCCATAACCGTTCCTAGGTCTGTGGTGAGCAAAGGTGGTTATATATATGCGACAAAAATTCTCTCGAATTACTTGCCTGGTGAAAGTCTAAAGAAGACACACTGAGTTTCTTCTTTCAAGTATGAATGTGTGGTATTACCCACTCCCAGCGCTAGCCGCTGAGAATCAGACCTCCCTGATGGATAACATTTTAGAAAAGGTACGATCTCTATTACTGACGGAGGCTACTTCAAAATAACTAAGGTTTCCTAGTTCGGAATCGAGTTTAAAGAGTCCAGATTGGAATCTTTCGATGAAAATTGGACATATTGCTATTCGAAAATGGTCGAAGGGTATCGAAACAAGCGCGTTGTTATATTCAGACCCGCTCCTTTCGACAAGTGGCTCGGTTGCATTCGGGCCAGAAATGGCTCAAACTTCAAGGAAATAATTTGGGACGCTGTCAATCTGGAGAATATATATATGGGATTACTACCGGCGAATTGTCCTTTCGAGGCGATGCTGGTCGAGATAAAACTAGTCACAGCAGAGGCTGCGGGCGATCTAGGAAAAGAATAATGCTATCTTATTAGTCATGAGATGTAGAATAGTTGTCTATGTTCATCAGTACTTTTCCATTTGACTAATGTTTTCTATTTCATGCAACAAGCCTTTTATATAATTAGTACATATGAACGCTAGATAAGCCTAAAATGAGTGGTATCATGCATTGAGAAAATAATATCAGAGAAGCGATTAACATATTTCGATAACTCGGCCAAGCATATTTAAGGTATTTAGGTGTCCCTGTGTAATGCCATGACTAAGCATCCGCAAGTGGAAGCCCTTGAGAGCGCAGAATTCGCTCTAAACCTTCCGAACCGTGATTCTCCTGCCGAAATACTTTCAAGCCTACATATGAGCTGCTGAGAACGCCGGCGCTTCATGGTGGAGGACACCAAGCGCATGAAATGCGGTACTGGGGAGCAGATTTTTCCACAACCGAACCCGATACGGAGGAACAGGTTATCAGCCTTTCACTTAAATTCAACTTTTCCAGAGAATCTGGGATATTTAGAGACAAATGGTGGAATCGAGTATAATTTCCGCTTTCTCTCAGTTGCGCAAAGCTCACACGCCGGGGTTCTTCCAAAGAATCCCAGCATGACTTATGCCGCGCGCATCTCAGTACTGTTGCTTACCAAAGGTGCTTTCCGAGCGCAAAGTAAGAATAAAAATGCTTCTTAGCCACAAACTAAGAAAAATGCCTACATATATCTGTCACTGCATAAATAACATAAACAATACAAGACCGATTCAAGCGTTTGCAGCAGGCATCAATCCTTCGAATGGCTGCTGTGGTCTGGATGGTCTTCCATTACTGCTGGTCGTGTGCTCGGTCTGATGACACGGGCTGGAAAATAATCGTGCCGATCAAAACATGGATAGATGGATTGGCCTATTAGCTATAGGAGCAGATTTAGACCGTTCCTTGAATAAGAGTATTAGATATTGTATCCTGGTGCTCATCAAATATTCTTCTTAAGGATGTCTAGCTGTTTTCAATTTCAGAAAGACCGCTAAGTTAAGAACGATCCATGCGCGGCAAGTACCCACCTTGGATGGTTAGAGTACGAACTCGACACGAAAGGCTGGAGAAGAAAGCCAACCACGGTAGGATGAGAAAAGATTGAAATTTGGAGGTCGTCATCACTATGCAACCAACAGAACTCTGAGAACTATTGAAGCTAGGACTCCTTACAGCGTATTCATCGTCTTGATTCTCGCACTCTGCTAAAAATCCAAGTGCAAAAGACAATCAACCCCTCGATCTGCCACCGCTACCTCAAATGCTAAGAAGGGCTAGATTCATTTACAATGCAACAGGCTTTCAGGATGTTCTCTCGAAACCGACTGTTTCAAGATACAACGCCAGAGGTGTAACCACAATGTCGTCCATGCTGGAGCAAAGGATTTATGGAACAAATGGAACACCAAGCCTTGCTGAAACGGGACATGTGCTGTCTGTTTGTGATGGTATAGTTCGCGCGCGTGGGCTGATTAATGTGCAGGCCGAAGAACTCGTTGAATTTGAATCCGGAGTGAAAGGCATGTGCATGAATCTGGAGGCTGCCTATGTTGGTATTGTGCTTTTTGGCCCTGATCGTCTTGTCAAACAGAGTGAGACTGTTCGACGCACTGGCGAGATTGTCAGAGTCCCCGTGGGCCCTCAGATGCTAGGGCGGGTGGTTAATGCACTGGGAGATCCTATCGATGGGAACGGGCCTATCGAGACGCTCAAAAAGAGTCGTGCTCACCTCAAGGCACCTGGAATCCTGCCTCGCCGCTCCGTCAACCAACCTGTCCAGACAGGTATAAAGGCGATTGATGCCATGGTGCCTATTGGTAGAGGTCAACGTGAATTGATTATTGGTGACCGCCAAACTGGGAAAACTGCTATTGCTTTGGACACCATTCTGAACCAACGGAGATGGATTAATTCAGATGACGAGTCGAAAAAGTTATATTGCATTTATGTAGCTGTGGGGCAGAAACGGTCCACCGTGGCTCAGTTCGTGAAGACTTTGGAGGAAAATGATGCCATGAAATACACAGTCATTGTGGCCGCTACGGCGTCTGAAGCCGCGCCTCTTCAGTATATTGCGCCTTTCGCCGCGTGTGCTATGGGAGAGTGGTTCCGAGACAATGGTCTACATGCTATCATCATCTATGATGATTTGTCAAAGCACGCAGTGGCCTACCGTCAGATGTCGTTATTGCTTCGTCGGCCACCGGGACGCGAGGCGTACCCAGGAGACGTCTTTTACCTTCATTCTCGCCTCCTTGAGCGTGCAGCAAAGCTGAATGATGATTATGGCGGCGGTTCTCTCACTGCTCTTCCCATCATTGAAACTCAAGGTGGGGATGTGTCAGCCTATATCCCCACGAACGCTATTTCTATCACGGATGGTCAGATATATTTAGAACCGGAACTGTTTTACAGAGGCATTCGTCCTGCGATTAATGTCGGACTCTCTGTTTCCCGGGTAGGTTCTGCAGCGCAGCTGAGAGCCATGAAGCAAGTTGCTGGTTCACTCAAGCTCTATCTTGCGCAGTACCGGGAGATTGCCGCATTTTCCCAGTTTGGTTCGGATCTAGATGCAAATACCAAGCAAACCATCAGACGCGGTGAGCGTTTAACAGAGCTTTTGAAACAAAAGCAGTACGCACCATTGCCTGTGGAAGAGATGGTGCCCTTAGTATATGCTGGTATCAACGGCTTTCTTGACAGGCTACCCGTCAGCCAAATCTCGCGCTGGGAAGCCGGCCTCCTGATCTATTTCAGAAAGTATTGGCCTCATGTGCTTCGCAAGATCGAGAAGGATGGACACCTGAGCCATGATCTGGAAGATCAAATCAAGGAGATAATCATGACATTCAACAAAACCTTCTCGTAAGGTTTCTGGAGATATTACAGACATTGGATTATATGCCCATTTCTATATTCAATTTGATAGTTTTATGATCCTGCTTTTGGAAGCTGCATGTATCGAAATTTCTTCTGATTGTATCAGGGTGGTGGAAAATAAAAATCTTACTTCCAATTCTTATCACTGCAAGCTACATATCCCTAAAATATATTCGTCTGATAAATGTGCCAAATTATTAGTTACTGTGCGGTATGGTCAACCATTGCGGCCAAGCCCGGAATAGTCACTTTTCTTTCGTTCACTTCATCGCCCAAAATGATTGTCACAGCTTCCGGCTGGCCTTTAGGATAAAGCTATAAGCGCGTCATACGCGAATGGACTTTCCCGAAAATCATCCTTTTGAAATGACACTAAGCTATCTCAAGGGGAGTTGCAAGGGGGGCTGAGTGTGATATCGCACTCAATCTGGCGACTACATGGGTTCCGGACGTTAGCCATGGTCAGAGTATGTTCAAAGATTATACTCTCCAAACGAGAAGTCGCATGCATGCTGATACAAGGGGCACACCAAAATCCACACCAACTTACACGATCTGTTGCTCCAGTGATTCCCCCCACCTTGAAGATTCCGTTAGCGGTAATAAGACCTGTGTGAAAAGTTCCAACACTGTTTGAGTCTCTTTCCTATAAGCATGTAATCCTGGACGGGACTTCCATTAAGGAGGTTGCAGATAGTTTCGACTCTGTTGAGAAAATAATTCCGATCTTCGAGATAAAGTTTTCTTAACCGATCATCAGATAGCTTACGCTCAGTCGGTTTCCGGGCCAGAGTATCTCCAATCTTTGGATCTCCTCCTAAACGCGACAATTTTATATCGCGCGTCGTCCTAAATACTCCCTGTACTTGGCTGTATCCTTTAGGCCCCCTTCTTTGCCAAAAATGATGAGCATATAAGGTTTAGATGTGTGCGCAAAAGTTATCCGTTGACTCTACTCGATGCAGCTGGTCTTCGGATTTGCAATTGATACCGTCCAACGAGAGTAGCCGAGAACAATGTGTGTGCCCCATCATGTGGAAAAGTCTGCGAACACATCTTGTCCTCGAGGATTGGTACCATCCAAAGGACGCAGCATCTTTGTCGTATTAACAAAAAATCCATTGACTATGCCTTCAAGGTTCAGAGTTTCGTATTTAATAATGTAGTGGCTTGGCCGGCACTCCAGTCGTGGGATCAACAAATCCTGATTCTTGTTAGATCTTTGGATGGAGGATAAGGCGGAAATTTGACAACACCAGAAAAAAGTAGTACTACATCTTATCAAGTTGCAGATTGAAAGGTTTTGTGTGAAACATCCAAGTCAAAGGTATTTACACGTGAAAGGCGGAGTGGAAATGCCTACTAAAACGCCTAAGAGACTGATTGACTTGCTCCACTCGCCTAACACGCTTTATTAAAGATTGGCTATTCAGCGTAATTTCTCCACATGTTTAAGGTTCTTCTACAACAGTGACGTAATTGAAGTAAGAAGGTATTGGTAACTAATCACGGTCGTGACGACTCTACGAAATCACAGTCAACCTTTATCCATGGAACCCGCACTTCTCCCTCACAATCAAAAGTGCATATAATATTTACAAATATCAAGTGGCTGTGCAAAATAAGCGTCTAACTGTGATAGCTGCCTTTCTTAGAATTTGAGGGCCTTATGCCGCGATTTCGGTGAATCATATTTTTTAACCGTCCCAAACCTACATTGTGGACACGTAAACAGTTCGTAATAACACGAGAAAGCGTTAAGTTAGAAAGATGAAGATTGACTCGACAGCTTAGACAAAATATGGGTTCCAGTATTCTGTATTCCACAATTCAGGCTTTGTGGCGAACTATCATAGCACAGAACCTTTAGGTTCTTCAGTTTACTGCAAGGCGGTTTGCATGCGAAGGCGGCAATGTGGCGATAAATGTTGTAGAACTATTTTCGATTTCGCGATGGAATTAGCCACGGCGCCCCCAAGTACAATGAGAATGCATCAGGGAAGCACAGATTGGAAGGGAAATGGTGATAAAAGGTCATCACTAACTCGTGATTACCCATTTGATTTTCCTGCGCTCGGAAATCCCGTCTCGGCTTTCTTAACAGTTCTTCTTATCTTCTCCCTCTTTGTCCTTGAATAGACCTCATGCCCGACCCCATTATCGTGGCTCACATATAGAATGGACCCTTATCATCTAACAGAAATCAGAGTGATTGTGTCCTCACGCGCTGTCATTTCAGGGTGTCTGAGGGCTGCCACAATCATAATCTCTCGCACTACGGGAAAAATCATAGCAGTTTTCAACTCCGTGACCCCTGCCTCCAACTTTCCTGCCGGAACCCTGTACACAGACTATTCCCCATATGTCCTTCTGCCTGGACTAGTTGACACCCATGTTCACCTCAACGATCCCGGTCGTGCCGATTGGGAAGGTTTCTATACCGGCACACAAGCCGCTGCATCTGGCGGCGTTACCACGATCATTGACATGCCATTGAATTCCATACCTCCTACGACAACAGTGGCTAACTTAAAAGAGAAACTCCGTGCAGCACATGGCAGGTGCTGGGTAGATGTCGGATTCTATGGCGGCGTCATCCCCGGCAATGCAGGCGAATTGAAGGCTCTAGTGAAAGAGGGTGTTCGCGGCTTTAAAGGATTTCTGATTGACAGCGGGGTAGACGAATTCCCTGCTGTTTCCCTAGATGATATCCGAATGATCATGACTGAATTAGCCAATGAGCCCACGAACCTTATATTTCATGCAGAGATGCCTGGAGATACTGAGCCTCCACAGAACGGCCCGGTTGAGGCATACTCCACGTTTCTTGCATCACGTCCATCATCGTATGAGACTCGTGCTGTTGAAAAGATTCTCTCTCTAGCTCCCTTAGCTCCTAATCTGCCTCTGCACATCGCTCACCTATCTGCTATGGAAGCAATTCCATCGCTTCGCAAGGCTCGTGCAAACGGCATTTCAATTACTGCTGAGACCTGTTTCCACTACCTCTCTCTGACTGCCGAGGACATTCACAATGGTGATACCCGCTACAAATGTTATCCTCCAATCCGGTCGCGACTCAATCAAGACTGTCTCTGGGAGGAATTGGAGCGCCACGCCGATGATGGTGTCATCAAGACCATTGTATCTGATCATTCCCCTTGCACTCCAGAAATGAAGTTGCTGCCCTTATATAATCCAGACTGCTTCACATACGATGCCAGCTCCACGATTCATGAAGGCAGTTTCCTCCTCGCCTGGGGAGGAATTTCTTCTGTCGGACTGGGTCTTTCCATTCTGTGGAATGAGCTAAGCCGCCGAAGGAATTTGGACACGAGCACTGACGCGACTAGTATCCAGCATGCCCTTCAAGACATTGCGCAATTATGCTGCATTAACACCGCCACCCAAGTCGGCCTTGGGCAGCAAAAGGGCGACCTTGTTCCCGGTCACGACGCTGACATTTGTGTCTTTGACGAAACGATCGCTTGGACTGTTGATCCCAGCACCATGCGCTTCCGTAACAAATTATCTCCCTACCAAGGTCGCAAGCTCCGTGGCTTAGTCCGAGAGACATGGTTGCACGGTGAGAAAGTTTTTAGTAGGGAATTTGGTTTCACTAGCAAGACCCCAACCGGAAGATTGATCCTTGCAAATGATTGAATGATCTTTGATCTCTGAATTTGGAGTATATAAACAAGCCTCCTGATATTTCACCGTTCTCACCCAACTCTTTAAATAACTACAAGTTATTCCATACTGCCAATAAGATATAAATTTAAATACTGGTTTTGAACTGGTTTGAAGTGTTCTGATCAAGTTTAAACCTAATTTCAAAAAACCAATATAGAACTTCGTTTGAGGTGTTAGAACGTGACAAGCTGCTTTGGTAGGGTTGCCTTTGGAAGGTTGGAGAAGCTTGGCATGGGACGGAAGGGGCTGGAGGAAAGAAGTGTTAGGTGACCATTGTTCTTCATGCAGGTATGGTTGCCCATTGGATGATCTATGGAAAAAGATCTGGGAAGCGTAGAATCGGCCGTGCTATATGGTGACGGGTTGTGCACGCAAAAGCACTGTTGTTTGGATTGTTACTTTAAGCCTAAGAGTCCTTTGCAATCTCATTTCCGTAAAGCCATGTATGTTTTCTTCATGTGCCTCTGTCGATTTAAGTCATGGTATCTATGCAATAGAGAATTTTTTATTACTATGAGGTGATACTCCTGGTGAATACTTGAGCGATGTACGTGAAATGATATTGGAGGCTATGATTCTCAGTCCATGGCGTGGGGCATCCTTCTACCTGTGCTATTCATCATGGTATAGGGACTTGTTTATATACATACATAAAATTCCTGCGAGACCTCAACAAGAAGCTCCAGTTTGGACCCGAAAATTCTGGTGAGGTTGGAATTGTGGCCTTAGAAATAATGCCAGTTAAGTCTAGGATAACCTATCCAGCCTTAAAGGAAGACAGTATGGTTCGCGAGGTTATGAAGATAATTCGTCACTTACTGCAAGAGTGACCGAAAATAGTTTCATCACGACAGAATCATTTGCTAAAGATGATTAATCTAAGATTGCAATCTTCCAACCGTGGCGGCAGAGATTTACACTCTGAGGTATCCTAAAGTATTTCCATGAGGAGAATTGAATATAAGACTGAATAGGAGGAAAAGATTGATACTGGAAAGAATGGATTACCACAGGATATTCCTTTAAAATCGTCCCGCATGTCGATGGCAGGAAATCAACCAATGAAATGACCGGGCTACTTCGTACTCGAAAGCAGTTGCGAAACTATTTCGTCCCGTACTATTTCGTTCTATGCTGAACCCAGCAACTGGTTATCCGTCTCCCAGGGGCATGACTCAGAATAAAAGAATTTAGTTTGATTGTGCACTGGGCGAACCTAGAATGAGACTCTGTGATCGGCATTTCTTTTCATTTTTGTTATAGCACACCACAGCCATTTCATGGGTTAGTAAATGATTCACCATCTGGAGAGTATTAACAAGGTGGTGTCTGTAGATCAACCATGTCGTTAGATTTAAAACTCAAATTTATCACCACCATTTAAGGCACTTAAAAGTGAGAATTAGTCGCTTTGCTCCGAGGTGAGAAGTTTATTCTGTGATATCTTTTAGACACACTTATAAAGACAATTTATATCACTCCATCATTATCTCTTTGCTGTTGGACCTGCGATCAATTTCCGAATTAATACAATGTCTGTTATTTATCGCCCATACTCCACGGTATCACTGCGCCGCACTTGCTTCTCCTGCATTCGCCCCAGGGCTAACAGAAACCTAAGCAGTGACACCGAAAAACCGACGAAAAATGAGCAAATGAATAAAAAAAAAAAAAACTGAGGTTCCACAAAATGGTCAGTACCAAGACAGGTGTTGCAAAAAGGAGAGTCGAATGAAGGTTGAATAGCAGACACGGTGATTTGAGAATTGTGATTCTGCAAGAACACAAACCGAGTCCATTAGATAAAATGGCAACGAAATCTCAGACACGTCAAGGATGATGATGATGATGATGATGATTACGCTGACCCCTCGCCTAAGGCGACATGCAGGATCCACTACCTATACTTTCTATGTACATCTTGTGAACGTGAACTATTACTTTCTGGACGAACTTAGAGCCTCGTCAAGGCCTGTGTGGGCCAGTGCCTGGGGTTGTGTCTTGCCGCCCTTGTGGCGCGCGACTTCGAAATCTCTGCGATGCCTCCGCGAAGTCCAGGACCGCCCCGAGGACGCTGCTGTCCGGCGGGACATCTTGTAGCCTACCTTCCCTACCTTGACCTGCTCCTCCTAGCATATCCGATATGTTATTTGAGGCTCCTCCAATCTTCTGCCGCAGTGTTTGACGTATTGCGCTAAGCCGCGGGCAGTCGATGAGTACGTGCACTACCGTTTCGGTGGCCCCACACTCGCGTCGCTCGTCTGCCCGGAAACCATATTGTTTGGCATACGTTGCCAGCCACGAATGGCCTGTCCGAAGTTGCGTGAGCAGGTATGCTCGATTTCGAGGGAGCGAGCCATATAGACGACGAGACCTGCTGGATGGCAGGCCTCGGTCGATCCGGCGCAGGTGCCCTCCATTTTTCGAGGTCCTCCATTCTTGTTCCCACTCTTGGTAGATCATTCTGCGTATGTATCCTTTCTCCCGTGAGAGAAGATGTTTGAAGGGGTGCTTCTTCTCTATGCCCACTGCGTCCTTGGCCAGCCGGTTCAAATCGGTTTTCCGTGTGAGACCAAGAGACGAAATGATGACTCGAAATTCCACACGTTCTGACTTGCTGTGCTATGCTACGATGGAGTTTCGAATTTTATGAAATGATACGTAAGGCATTAGTGTGTGAATAGGTTATCAGAAGGTTTTTTTGACAGGAAATTAGTTAAATGATGGCTTGTATCCTAGGAGCCCGTTGCAAATTAGGGACACTACCCATCCAGCTTGCTACGACTGATACCGACACGAGCGATAAAAGATTACCCTTTGTTTTCACAACCTTCGTGAGCAAAATGCGGCCATTTTAAACAATCTCTTGTAGCTTGAACTTCTCTTGATTCCACAGACTCTGGGACTATTGAATAGGACGCGGTTTTGTGGCTCCAGGGCGAGGCGACGACAGCTCTGCTCAGTTTTAGCCACGGTTTCTGGGGGATCATCGAAGAAGTGAGATCAGATGCAGGGACCTTTGGAATAATCCCTTCAACTGCAGGTTGGAAATTTTATGGTCTTGTTGTCGAGCAGATTCATGATCATTGCTGATGTTTGTAAAGGCGCGCGCCGGATGTGGTATTGGCTAAATCAGCCGGGAATCTCACAACTTAGTAACTCGCTTAGTCGCTTCTCCAGCAGTTCCATCCCTTCAGGTGTCTTCCAGACCTCATGCGACGCGTTCTCAACAACATCCCAATTCTTCAGGTTCTTTGTAGATCTGGTAAGATCCTCTTGAGTCTTGGCCCATTTTTGGCTCCTCCGAACCTCTACACCCGAGCTGACTACTACCAAAGGTATATTAGACATAGGGATTTGGCGTGCCGCCTGAATTTCAGATTTCGTCATAGAGATCGCGAAGAGGTTCTCTTGAAGCTTAGCTTTGATGTATTTTCCCGTCTGATAAGCACTGCAGCCGTAGACACGATCCTCCCGAGTCCGCCCTTTGAAGATAGCGCCAATAATGCGGTCCACGCCAAGTGGCGAGAATATCCCTTGAAGCCATAGAAGAAAGCCATGACCCGGTGAGGCTATCATGGGCAAATAATCCTCGTGCATGGTGTCAATGAGTAAAAGCCCTGATACTTGGAATATATGCCGGCTGCCGAATATGCGGCTATAAATGCCACCAATTCCGGCAGAGACGAGTACCCAGGGTCCTTCTTCGTCAACAAGGAAGAGAGCCTCAGAAAGGGTATCAGCGGCCATTCCAGCCGAGTAGGGGGAGGGGGCATTATCGGACCAGGCAAGACCCGGGCGATCCCAATAGCAGTAGCGAGGTATCATGCCACGTTGGTAAGCATTATGAATGAAGGGCTCGAGAGTGTGCTCTACAGGGCCCTCGCCACCTTCAATGAGGACAGTAGGGAATCTCTCATGGTAATTAGTGTTTCTGGTGAAATTACCCACGCAGTGAAGGTGGATTCGAAACTTGTCACCTTGGACGTAATACCTGTTGCCTGGGGCGGGCAAAGAAGTGTCGCGGACCCGCAGGATTAAGTTGCAAGTGAGGAGAACAGCGATGATCCCAATAGTAGCCATGAGGGCGGTCTGTATAAGCACTGCAGTCCATTTGTGAAGGGAACGGCTAGTTTCAGGGCGACCTGTCAGACGCTCTTCCTCTCTGCGCTTACCCCACTCAACGCAGCGAGTCTGAATGATGTTATAAATGGCAATGAATGTGGCCCAAGAGACGGAGGCCAAGCCCACCCAGCCTTCTTCAATGAGGATACGCGGTACAGCGAGGATGATAATCATATCGACGCAGAGAAAGGCTGCAATTAGTATACCCCAGAAATTCATAGGTCTTGATGGCACAGCGAAAAATAGGAGAGTGGTGATGAGGTATGCTGCTGTAAGGGTTGCATAGGCGAAGCAAAGGAAGCCGGAGCCCCGATCATATAACATTCTGAAACTGAAAAACATTGAAGCCAGCAGAAAAGTCCACCAAATACAAGAAATGGCGAGAAAAAAAGAGGAAAGACCATGAATAGCACGAATGGTCCAGAGGTTGTATGGGGAAACCTTTATTGAAATCACATCAGCTATTAGCCCCTCTTTGAATACTTACAATTTGGCAAGGAAACACTTACAGCAGGATCGTCAGGATTGAGGAAGGTAGAATGTTCGTGTGATAAGAGGCGTGTGTATTCTGTAGGTGCTGGAGGTTGGCAGTCATCTCCATTAAAGTGTGTCCTCTCCTCTCTTTCCAGGTCAACATTTCGTCCTAATGACCGCGACGGCATGGTGCCATTGCAGAACACCATCGAAGCTGGTTTCAGATTGTTCTGGCTGTATATGCGACTTAAGGATTAATAAATTTAACACGGAAACGTGAAAAGATCAGGTCTATGGTCGACTCTGAAGCAACGAGAACTGAAATCAATTCACTTCGACATTTCGACGTCACTGAGGATAATAGGAACCACAAGATGTTTTTTTTTTAATTTTTTGTCAAAAGGTTCACCTAATGCGAGCTAGCTTTAGCCATTCCCAGGGTATTATTAGTTCCAGATTATCTCGTCCTGCTTTTTCTTGCCACGCGATTTAACCCTGTTATAGAAGGTAGTTGATATCTAAGGTAAAATGTATTGACAATTCATCGTTAGAGGTTTTAAAGACGGGTACGATAGGGCTGGTATGTCCATTCTTTCGCTTCTCTGTTCGATTCACACACTGTGAATGAGTTTGAATTCTTATCGGGATTATTGCTGTAAACGGAATTTCTGACATGTTAACAAGCGCACGCCACTGTATCATGGATAATCTTTTCATGCTACAGCAAATTGCTTTTAGTGCGGCATTTTAAAAATCCTTAAAATAGCAATACATGGATGACACGGATACCTTGGCATACTGAAACATGTTTCTGCGGTCTGACTTTATGCTCACCTGCTTTTATAACCACCCCACCATGTTTTGTGCTAGGTCCTTACATTTCTCTAGCAGATTTCACGGTTCATCATTTTGGACTTTGGGTCTCACCAGATTAAGATTGGCCCAATATCTCTCTTGAGTGTACTTTACGTCTGTTTTAGATTTCCTTTGAAAGGTATTGGAATTTTGCCCACCAGCTTGAGAAGTCTATATCCTGCTTTCACAAACCATGGGCGAATTCAACCTATGTTTCCTCGGTTCAGGTTCTTGCATGCTTCTATCATGAACCCTATATCTGAAGTAAACCGAGTCCCATAATTCATACGAAGCGATTCGAGACACATCGAGTTCTGAAACGTGGACAAATTATTCTCATATATGGTTGGCTGATTCATGACAGCCTGGCAGGACTATAGACTCCTAGATGTATGAAGTATGATGTCACTTAAAACATATGTTCTGATGCTCCCTTTCTCTTGATTCATATAATTAGCTACGCAATGAACAGCATCGTAGAAATAAATGATCTTCCTTGTTTGAATCTCATTCAAGTCTATTTGCATACCACATATCTGTCTGATGGATGGTTTAGCTTTAACAGCCAGGGAGCTCTCGACAGCTGGAATGCCCTGTTACTTTGGATTACAAGATTGCCTGACTGGTACGTCACCCATATTTTTGTTTTCAAAAGGTCCCGTGTTGACTTCGTTTTAAGATCCTGGTAAACTTCCAGATGTATGTTCAATATGCTGGGAATCGCTCAGCCCGGCGTCCTTTTTCCGCCTTCTTCCCTGCGGACACATATTCCATCTCCCATGTATAGATACATGGATTTGCAATGAGGATGCTCGCTGTCCTATCTGTCGCTGCACTTTTTATTATCTAAAAAGGCCCCAGGTGAGGAGTATCTTACAAAGAAAATGCGTGCCAAACCCCACGAACCAACAATTTCGATTCCGATATTTCTCTAAGGCTGTCAGAAAATTTCTTATAAGAATATTTGGTGGACAGACTTCAAAATAAGTTAATCAGATGCCATTCTCAATCAATGGTAATTTATTATTGCTTGTCTCTCGACTTCAGTGAGTGTAAAGGGGCATTGGATTGGGCGGGAGCCGGCCTCGAACGGCTTTAATCTTGTTTCGTTCTTCAAATCTTGCGTGGCTGTAATCTTTTTGGTTGTCTTGATATACCAGGGTTCGATCCGAGCGATGTCTTGGAGAACGCTACCCGAACGTCCCAAAATTAAAGGTGATTCTCAGACAAGAGACACCGCATTAAACTACTAGTTGTTTTGACAATAGTATTAGTCTTCTACCACATATTCATATCAATGAATGATCGATCTGGGGGGTGGTAAGGCTGAGAGTGTCAGGGCTGAATCGTCAGTTGTTCAGGAATAAGTCCGCAATTGCCACGACATATGATACTGGTTCCGAATGTGGGATTGACCTACAAATCATGATTGACCAGAGATCATGTGATTGAGGCTAGTAATATTGAAGGAGCAAAGTTTCATTTCCAACCGAGCCCGTTAGCCTGACGCAGGAAAAACTTTGAATGATGATTTATGCGACTTTTGCCCGTCAGAATTTCAACGCTCCCAAGAGGTTTGTGTTGCCTGCATATAAAACTGCGGCCGAATGAGCGTGTGCAGGGTGCAGTCTGCGTGAAATGCATCTTTGACCGTGGACGTGCTGGATCATAGAGTTCGATAGTGTGACCTGACTGCCAATAGGGTTTGATTTGAATCATATTGGGGTTGTCAGTTTCGAGTGACGTATTGCTATACCCTTCGAATCTCAATGACGTCGCCATGTCGTAAGAAATAGCCCTTTACACAACGAGGGAAAGCTCTGTCATGAATATGATGGTTAACGTGGTAATGTTCAAGAGCCCGTATTTATATACTTTTGTCAAAAACTTATGCCTACTCATTAAGAATACCGACAATGAGGCCTGACCTAGCTGGCATAAATCAAGTTTCGGGCACCTGGGGCTTTCTTAATGCCAAATATGTATATTACACGCCGCTCGCGCTATTCGATATAATTCTTTTGCAAATTACCTGTCATTGATCCGCCGAAAATTATCCGACCATTCATCTACTACTCTCTTCACATATCACGAACCTCAACCTCAAGAATTCTTAAAATGTCTACAACGGGTATTTTCTTCAAGCGAAAGGGGGTTTGAGTACCTTGTTCTTGCTTTCCCTGAAGAAGTCGCGCAGTCTCAACTCATTGCCTACTAGTTTGCTTGGGATTATTATTGGATTTACGGTCTTCGGAATTTCTACCCATTATCACACCGTTGCAAGGTACATAGTTCCCAATAGTTTTGAACTTCAGGTGAGTATAATTTCTCTTAAATGTGACTTCTCCCCACATGTCTTATCAGTGGAATTCCTTTCCACAATTTTCTTCGCCCAGGATTGCTAGCTCTTCCGATATATCTTCCCTTTATCATGAGAACAAACTGGCTAAAGTACACATCGTAACGTACGTTTGTTAGAGCATACAACTGAGAGTATCGCGAATGTTTTCCCAAATCATGCATATAGATGACAAGGTGGACAATATCATAGACCATGACTCTTGATTTAACAGTGCTGGAACAATGTATCTTCACAGTAACCAGAGGAGGACCTAATGAATTCTCAAAATAAGTACTGCTCAGAATTCTCTAGTCCCTTCGCAATTGAAGTCACTGACTTCTGTGACCAGCTGTGGCTCTCCTTATCAGATATAATGGTACTGCATAATGTAGATGACATCAGCGGCAAAACAAGGGGTAAATTTGTATATATCATCGTGGTTGCTTGTCTTCATTTCTGAAGTTAATGTTATTGTGTCTCTTGCCAAGAGAAATCAGGCAGACAGGACTCACAATACAGATTCAGAAATCGACGCTGTGGGCAAAATGTTATTGCACTGGGATCAACTATCGCCATGGCAACGTGACAATCAATTTATACATTCAGGCTATCGGACTGTGTCTAACTCGTTTCGCGCTTCGTTCGCAAGCCTTGGTTATGTCCATAACGAATCCGTCAACATCTATTCTCATCTCATCCCTGCAATTCTCCTTGCACTCTTTAGCATCCCGCTTCATGCAAAACTCATGGCCGAATACACAAGCGCCTCAACATCAGATACCATAGCATTGGGCTGTTTTGTCGTGGGAGCTGTCCTATGCCTGTCCATATCAGCAATCTTTCACACCGTCCAGAATCATTCCCTGCACATAGCACGCATTACAAACCAAATGGATTATATTGGTATCGTATTGCTAATCGTTGGGAGCTTTATTCCGAGTATATTTTATGGGTTTTACTGTCACTCTGTTTTACAAACAGCCTACATAACCATGGTCTGTCCTCACAATCTTTCACTACCTGAAAGAGGGAGCTTACATCAATTTACAGATAGCTTCTCTTGGCCTATTGTGTGCTGCTATCTCAGCAGGTCCTCAGTTTCGGCATCCTAGATGGCGGCATTTTCGTGCGAGGATGTTTATTGTCCTTGGACTGTCAGCAGTCTTCCCTTGTGTCCATGGGGTCGTAAAGTTTGGCGTCAGGCAAATGAATAACCAGATTGGACTTTTCTGGGTTATTCTGCAGGGTTCGCTGTACATCTCAGGGGCCTTCATATATGCTGTGGGTCATATCTCATTTTTGTGATTTAGTGTCTAACATGTTCATTTCAGATTCAATTACCCGAGCGTCTATACCCTGGCGCGTTCGATATCTGGATGAGCTCTCACCAGATCTTTCACTTGATGGTGGTCATGGCCATAGTATTTCACCTTCAGGGTTTGATTAATGCTTTTAGTTACAATCATAGTTTCATGACCACACATTGCTGACGATATGACTTTTCTGTATTTACATTTGATTTACAATTCTATTTTCCAATTGTTGATCGCACTTTCGCAGGGTTGGATGTTTGTATCAGCCACTTCTGGCCTGGCTATGTGCTGAGCAGTGTTTTGCACGCTGAAGGACATGAAGATGAAAATCTCGACATAACCTTTTTCTGTGAACTTGGCCCTCTATTGTCTACCGAGTTTTGCAAAACTGCTGAAGCCACTGAACTTGCATGCAATAAAATAAATCACTATGATACAAAGCCCACAGGTTTTTTCAGATATCGATATATTGATATCAACTCCTCTAAATGCACTCCACAAGCTTCCCTACAGACCTTTCAGTCACAGTACATAGTGTCAACCAAGTTCACGAGCAAATGTGGTAACGTGATTTTCAACGAGCCGGCAACATCCGTATCAATACAAGCCACATATTTGCATAGATCTTGATATTGATCAGCTAAGCATATATGAGAGAAAAAACTTTCTATTTGTTAAT